GGGGTTGCGGAGGATCATGCGGGAGATGCAGCCGGAGACGTTGTCGACCATGCGGGACTCCTTGACCTGCAGGAGAGGCTCGAGCTTCTCCAGGATGGCGGGGTACTGGGGGATGGTCTTGTCGGTGGACTGGGAGTTGAAGATGAGCTGGCCGATGGCGTAGGCGGCGTTGGACTTGGCGAGGGAGTCCGGATCGGTCAGGCGGTGAGCAAGGACAGGCAGGAGGGAGTCGGTGAAAGGAGTGACGGCCTCGCCCATGTATTTGATGGCCTCGGCGATGACGCCGACGGCGGTGGAGCGCTCGAGAGCCTCCTGGGAGCTGGCGAACTTGAGGATGGGCTTCTCAAAGATCTTCCACATCTCGGCGAAGTCGCCGCCGAGGGCGGTGGCGAGGCCGAGGACGACGTCGAGGGCGGTGTCGATGACGAGCCAGTCGAACTCGGAAGAGCCCTCGGCCTCCTGCTCCTCCTCCTCGTCGCCCAGGTCCTGCTGGCAGGGGTGGGAGCGGGTGATGAGGGTGCCCAGGATGGTGATGCTCTCCTTGAGCAGATCATCGTGGGTGAGGATGGAGGGGCCGCAGGCCTTGAGGGTGGCGGCGACGTTGCGGTTGATCTCGGTGATGACGCTCCTGAGAGTAAAATCGTTAGTATGAGTGTCCAACGAAACAAACAGTCATCATGAAACATCAAGTTGCCCAATGGGTCAGACGTGATCAAACGTGTTCTCAGCAACCGCACACTTTGTGTGCGTCTGAGTGAGCTGGGTATAACGCGAGTTGCTCATCCTTTTAGGGCGGGGAAATTTGGGGGAGATGAAGAAAGAAACTGCGTGAAACATACCGTTCCGTGTCCTCTTGCCAGACGCCCTTGGTGGCGTCGACGACCATCTGGCCGAGGTTGAGGATGACCTCGTCGGGCTGCTGCTTGGGGGGGAAGCCAGCCTGCCACTTGGTGCCGGTCGACTCCTCAAAGAGCTGCCAGACACGAGCATAGGAGCGCCAGAGGGTGGAGATGGCGGCCTTGCGGGCACCGTCGTAGGGGTGCTCGGCCAGGGGGGCGACCTTGCCCATGGCGTCGCCGAGGTACTGCCTGATGGCATCGGCGCCGCAAGAGTGGGTGATGACGTCGCCGAGGACCTCGAGAGCGATTTCCTGCTCGAGGGCAACGGCGGTGACACCGGCGAAGTCGTCGAGGTCCTCCCAGTCGGCGTCCATGTCCTCCTCGTCATCCTCGTCAACGGCCTTGAAGTTGAGCTTCTTGCCGCCGGAGAGGAGCAGACCCTCGGGGATGTCCTCCTCCTTGAGGCCGGGGATGGAGACAGACTCCTCCTCGAGCTCGAGGCAGTCGAAGAGTCCCTTGAAGACGCCGGGGAGGAAGTGAGCGAACTCGCTGCCGTAGACCTTGGACAAAGAGGCCCAGAGGATGAAGCTGGTCTCCTTGAGGCGCGCGTTGTCGAGGCTGAGGGCCTCCTCGCTGGCCTTCATGAGGTCCATGACGTAGGGCTGGAACTCCTGAGCGCCGACAGCATCGGCGATGCGGCCCATGGAGTCGCAGACGGACGAGCGGAGAGCGAGGGCCTCCTCGCTGTCCTTGATGGTGACGTACTGACCGAGGGCGCCCATAACCTCCTTGAAGTAGGGCTTGAACTGCTCGCCGCCGAGGGCGGAGGCGATGGCGCCGATGGCACCGGCAGCGGCGGCCTTGACGGCGAAGTCGTCGTGGCCGAGAAGCTTGCCCATGGGCACAATCAGCTTGGGGCCGAACTCCTTGATCAGCTCGTCGTCGAGACCCTCGCCGATGAGGGAGTCGAGAGCACCGCAGGCAGCACGAATGATCCTGACACCCTGCTTGTCGGAGGAGCCGGAAACAGCCTCGAGGTTGGTGAGGAGGGCGCCGATGAGCTCACGGTGCTGGGGGGAGAGCTCGTCGGCCATCTCGTCGGCGAGGTGGATGAGGCCGACGAGGGCGGCGTGGCGGACAGAGGCGTCCTGGTCGTTCAGGAGCTGGAGAACGACGGGCAGCAGAGGCTGGAGCTGGGTGGCGATGAAGTCGGGAGCGCCCTCGGCGGCAGTGCCGAGAGAGAGGATGGCGGACTTGCGGTGACCGGGGTTGGGGTTCTGGGCGAACTGGGTGAACTGCTCAAGAAGGGGCACGATGACCTGGCGGGGAGGCAGGTCGCTGGCCAGCTGGTCGATGAGAGACAGAGCGGTCCTGGCGGGAGAGTTGTCGTCGTCCTCGTCGTCGGTGTCGATCTCGGTGACGACCTGCATGCTCTTGACCATGAGCAGGGCGCCCATGTCCTTCATGGCCTGGAGCTTCATGCGACGGTAGCGGGCGCACTGGCTGAGGAAAGCCAGGGCCTGCGAGCGGGCGTCCTCCTCGACCTCGGTGTTGACGGCAAGGTCGATCATGAAGTGGATCAGGTCCTTGAGGTGGGCAGCGAGGAAGGCGGAGTCGTAGGCCAGGAAGGACTGGAAGACCTCGAAAATGTCCCTGTACTGGTCGTCGTTGCCCTCAGAGATGGCGTTCTTGAGGATCTCGACCATGGGCTGGACGAGCTGCTGGATGAGGTTCAGGCTCTGGGTGTCCTCCTCGGGGTCGACGAGCATCAGCAGAGCGCCGACGGACTTGACGGAGCTCAGGCGGACATCGGCGCTGGCAGGGTCGACGATGGTCTTCTGGACGAGGCCGAGGAGCTGCTGGGTCTGCTCGGCGAAGTGGGTGGGGTCGTTCTCGAGGAGAGCGAAGAGAATGTAGGAGCCGACCTCGCGGTGGGCGACGTTGTCCGAGGTGTTCAGGGAGAGGACTCCGCGAACAAAGTCCTGGCCCTCGCCATCCTCGAGGTCGAGGCCAACGGCGCAGGCCAGAAGACGCGACTTGGAGTGGCGCGAAGAGGCGGACTGGTCGTTCAGAATGCTCTCCAAAATGTGCTTCTTGGCCAGCTCACGCTTGTCAGCAGCGAGCTTGGACCAGTGTCTGGGCGTCAGGCGCAGAGCCTGGACGGAGGCCAGCTGACGGATGGCGGCGTCATCGTGGGAGATGGTGATCTCGATGAGGAGGAGAAGAGACTCGGGCTGGGAGTAGTAGTTCTTCTGCAGCTCGGCCGTGACGGCCTTGACCTTTTCGGTGTCGGCTGGAGAGAGGAAAGCAGGTTAGCAAGATATATAACTCCCGAGTTTGCCTGGTTCCGGAGGATGTCAAGAGGGAGGGAAGGGAGGGAAAAAAGCGACGTATGATAAATAGGCGAGAGCCACAAAGCTAAAAGAAGCGAAAGCGAGGAAATGAAGGAGGCTGGCTTTTGACTGGGTTTGCTGCCGGGGTGGCACAGGGCGACGGAGGCGTGGAAGGGGGGAGAAAACTCACGGATCTGGCTCGCTTGGAGCAGCTGGACCAAGTTTCCTTTGTCCATCTTGTGTTATATTTTGGGGGTATCTCGTCGTCCTCCTTCGCGCAAAAAAAAGAAGAAGAAAAGACAAGAGGGAGGGAGGTGAGAAAAGGAAAGGAAGAAAAATAGGACTCGGGCGACGATTTTTAACCCAGAACAGAAGGGGAAGGAAAAAAAAAACCAGGACGGGGTTTGTCGGCCAGACGTGCTATTGATGCCCGAACCACCTATGACAGCGCCGCGGCTCTCGAGGACAAATAATATTGGGAAGGTAAAATGAATAAAGCAAAATAAGGGGACAAAAAGTCACCAAAGTGACCCTGAACCACACAAATTCTAGGGGACCAGCGTGAAAATTTCGAGATGAGCCCCGCCACGTCAGATAAGATAACGAATAATTTACAGCCGTTCTGGAAGAAAATTTCCTGCAAGGCGGGGTTTATGTCCAGGTACCCCTCCTCAAGCAGAATTTGCTACCTACAGGTAGGTACGGTACGTACCTCTCTCTGCCCCTCCATTCACGTGTACCCGAATGCCAATCCCGCCTTCTTTACTTCTTCAGGGAGCACTTTTTTTTTCCCCTTTTCTTTTCTTTCCAATCGCAGATTAATGTCTTGGGAAGCTTCCGATTCCTACATAGCTACTGTCAACGCTAGGCGGCCAAAGTAGCTCTCTGGCACTTGCCTTGTTGGGACCAGGGGCAGGACGGACGGACGGACGGACGGACAGACAGCCACCCATCATCTGCCACTGATCTCATTGCGCAGCAGGCCATGAACTACCCGCAAAACCTGTCCCGTCCCGTCTTTGCCACATATGAAACCCGAGTACGCTGTATACCCAGTCAATATCATGCTAAGAAGGACAATCTCCCTGTCCTGTTCTGTGCTGTGCTGTCCCAGTAACACACGCGACATGTCCCTATGTACAGGTATAGGGGAGGAGGAGGAGGAGGGGAGGGAGCCTACCCTGGAAGCAGAAGCTCTGCCATGGGACTATGCAGAATTTTGCGAGGTCTTGCCGCATGAATTGTGGGCTCGGGCTGGTTTCAAGACAAGTCTCATGCCGACCTCGAGTCCTCACCGACACTTGCCGCCGCCCGGGTCGGTGCCCCACTCCGGACCTTATCTCCAACTCGGTATCTGTATCCACAATTAATCCGGGTTTCGGGGCTGGCTGCGGTGCTCCGGACAGTCTCAAAGACGTGGACCTGTGCAGGAGGCGCTTTCGAAGCCGGGTGTCTGAAGTCATTCACCGGGTAATCTATATCGATACGCAACTAAGTCCTGATGCACTGTACTTACCTTGAAGCCAAACCACAAACCTATTGTTTTCATATGTCGAGGTAAATCGCAAGTAAAGGGGCTTTGTTGTCGTTTGCAAGATGATCGAAAGTTCCAGGTCTGGCCATGACAATAAGCCAGGCCGCATTATGATTTAGTGTTTTTCTAAGGAATGTATCGTAATATGCATATGCCAAATGATTGAACAGCGCCGGTTCCATGCAATGTCGAATGCCCGTCATTAACCCCCGCTATTGATAAGCCCAATTACCCCGTTTGTCGCATCGTGACCATGGTCGTCTTTGTTTCTCTCCCCGTCTTCCTGTCGGCCATTTACAGACCACAGGCAACCTGGGTGGCCTGGACGTCGATGCGGCCGAGCTGGGCAGCCTGGCCGTTGGTCAATTCGTTCATGGCGCCGAGGGCGATGTTGAAGCCGGAGCTGACGTGGTCGATGACGAGCACGTTGATGCTCTTGCCGTTGTAGGTGAGCTGCCAGCAAGTGCCGCACTGAAGGAGAAGTGTTAGTCCCGTGGCCTTTTTACTGGAAGAGACAACAAACGGTTGTTGTTGTTTTTTTTTCTCCCTCTCCTTGTCTCGAAAAATACGAGAGGGGAAGGAAGGTCAACTTACGTTGGGGGAGTTCCAGCCGCCGACGACGTCGGCGCCGCCGATGTGGGGGAAGCCGGCGACCTGGCCCTGGTTCTGCCAGCCGTACTTGGTGATAAGCCCGTTGGCGCCGTCGGAGCAGGAGACGGAGGTCAGGGAGCGGGAGCCGTCGTCGTAGCCGGTGTCGTAGGAGAGGGAGACGGCGGCGGCGGCGGCGACGGAGGAGAGGAAGGTGATAAGGCCGGAGAGCTGCATGTTGGCTGAGGTGTGCGCGTTTGTGTGTTTGAGGGCGGCGAGAGTGGTGTTTGTAGAGGGGAGCTCGAAGGCCTTGGAGTTGGAAAAGTTGTAAGTGGTGGTTGAGGAGGTTGATGGAGAGGAAGCTGATGAGGATGAAGGCTAACAATGAGATTCCAGACGAGGCGAGAGAAGTGAGTCTCTTTATACAAACAACTTGGACATCCCATTGCTCCATCACCAGTTGCGAGCCGAGGCGTGACAGGTCCTCCCCTGCGGTAAACGGAGAAAAACACAAACGAAGGCACCAATGACGTTGTGACCCCTCGGGCAAAAACGAGAGAGCATCATGTTACAACATGACCGGCGCAGGGACCCGGGGCCCAGCTTGGCGCGAGTGCCCCATCCTGCATATCACGTCGTATGGGGCGACTGCCGGAATGGGCGCAGGCCTCACTATTCCTCCGGTTCGTATTTGCGGGTGAGAGTCGAGAGTTGGGAGGCGGACAAAGCCCGATACCACCCTGCCCAGGAAGGCTGGGGAATGCGCAGCGCCGATGACAGATCTGGGTATCAATGTGGGGAAGAGAGAGAGAGAGAGTGTGTGTGTGTGTGTGTGGATGCCTGTGTGCTACGATAAACCGTGAAGGAAGAAGCGAGCATCTCTGCTCGTATTCACTAGCCTCCCAGATCCCTGGCCCGGCGTTGGTACCCGTTTGTCTTTGGAGAAGGGAATGGGAGGAGAGAGAATGTTCGTTTCCTCCCGTCATGCTGCTGTTTTTAGCATCAAAAGACCGCTAGGGTCGGTTCGGGGTTAGCGGCCGTAGCCAGCGAGCGCAGAACGGGACATCAGCAGACTCAATCAAGCACTGCCGCAGTAGGCGGGATATCCATCCGTAACTTTCTAAACTGCCTACCTAGTCGAGGTCTTATGGCTGTCGATCTCGTTTGATTCATTCAGAGAACCTCCTCCCCGTGTGCCTCTTTTTTTGTTTCTTTGGTTTTTTTTTTTCTTCTCCTCCAACACAGATCTTGTTTCTTCCCTCTTTTTTTTTGTTTTTCCCCACACCTGTAGGTGGGTCCCCTTCCTTGGCGGAAAGGCGGGCCAGCACCAGTCAGGTGGTCTTTCTTCGTGTTCGCGGAGAGACGAGAGACGGAGAGTGGGCGTCTCTCGGCCGACGCATGCATCTGATTGTCGCCCTGTTTGTTGCTGCCGCTTTCCAACCTCTTGCCCTGCCTCATCATCCGTTCGAGAACTCGATCCTCTCGAGCCTCAAGAGTGGCCAAGAATGAGGCTAGCGGCTGTGGCGAACGCCCATTGTCCTTCCTCCACATCCTGTCACCATTCCTACATGCGTAACTGAGTAGGCGACCACGATAGGAGGAGACCAATAGACGTGACTGCGCTTCTTCACGCTGACCGATCGCGGCGTCGGGCAACGTTGCAAGCGCCCAAGCGCGGATCGGCGGTCGGTCAGACTGACTAGTGATGTTACCTGACTACGGTTCGTCCGATGCATCCGCAACTCGCCGCTTCCCACCGGCCGAGAATAGACTCGGAACTCTGTCGAGTGGCAGCTCCTTGAGCATTACATAGTAGGTGTCGACTGTCTGCCGACATGGACCGACCAACAGGCATCCGCATGATAGACGGTGGAGCTCGCGGAACACGCCAGAACACGAGCTCTAGTCTCGTTTCCCCCCGCTTGCCTCGATCTTGGAAGCGGTGTACGATGGTCGCCTCGAGAACCTGTCGGGTCCCAAGAGTCGTTGCATCCAGAAGTGATACTCTGGGGAAATAGTCGCTCATAAAGGGGATCCGCAGAGTTGCGTGCATGTGCAACCTTACGAGAGATCGCCAACTGAACTCGTCAGGGTCGGACAGTCGTATTTGATGTCTTGGCGCGAGAATGCATGGAATCCCATTTGACGTCAGGGCCGCCATGCCCGCCCTTCCTATGGTTGAATTGGCCAGCGTTGTAAAGCAGTCGTATCATCAACCTCGTCAAGGCCTCTGAGCATGAGGTGTGGTCGGAAGAATAGGCCACCATTGGCAAGAGCCTCGAGCCGAGAAAAGCGTAGAAGGAGGGTTGAGGGAAACCTGTGCGAAGATAAGATAAGAAGGCTGCGGGCAGCATCACGCACGCATTGGCCAATGCAAGGCTTAGAAGGCCACCCCGCACTCGACCAGGTAAGAATGTACCTAGATAATTTTACCTACCTACCTAATCTAGGTACCTACCTCCTCCTCCCTACTGATGCGAATAGGGCTGCCCCCCCACCACCACAACGGCTCAGCCGCTGAGACGCTCCGGTCATCGGGGTGACCTCAAATTTTTGAGTCAGGAACAACATCAGTCGGGTATCGCGTGATAGGCTCTCACTTTCGCTCACAGTTCCCCGCCCTTTTTACAGTCGAGCTCATTATCATCTTATTCAGAAGTTAGACTTTCATACGACTGAATCGCCAAATCTGCCTCAATTGCTTTCGTCATCGGCCGCTTGCCTCCGTGCCTTACCCCTCCTTTCACCTACCTCATCATCGTACGGCCGGTCTCCCCCCCCCCCGGCTCCCCTACTAGTCTACCCCCCCCCCCCCCTCCCTCATCACGACTTACACCGCCTGCCCGTCATGACCAAGGAGACGTTCGTGATCAAGACGCCCTCGTCCTCCGCCAACATTGGCCCGGGCTTCGACGTCATCGGCCTCGCCCTGTCCGTCTACCTTGAGCTCCACGTCACCGTCGACCGCTCCCGGACGGCCTCCTCGGAGCCCCTCAACTGCCGCCTCACCTACGAGGGCCAGGGTGAGGGCACCGACGACATCAGCCTCGACCCCTCCGTCAACCTCATCACACGCGTCGCCCTCTACGTCCTGCGCTGCCACGGCCAGCGCATGTTCCCCGTCGAGACCCATGTCCACATCAAGAACCCCATCCCCCTCGGCCGTGGCCTCGGCAGCTCCGGCTCCGCCGTCGTCGCCGGCGTCATGCTCGGCAAGGAGGTCGGCCACCTCGACCACCTCGACCTCGACAGGCTCTTTGACTTTTGCCTGATGATTGGTGAGTCCCACCCCGTCCCGCGCCCGCGCGCGCCTTGTCGTCCATGCTCACGCAGGAAACCCCACAGAGAGACACCCCGACAACGTTGGCGCCTCGCTGTACGGCGGCTTCGTCGGCACCTACCTTCGCCCCCTGAAGCCCGAGGACGTCCAGCGCATCGAGATCCCCCTGAGCGAGGTCCTGCCCGCCCCGGCCGGCGGCGTCGACACCGGCGAGACCCCGCCCGAGCCGCCCCACGGCATCGGCCACCACATCAAGTTCCCTTGGGCCAAGGAGATCAAGGCCATCGCTATCATCCCCGACTTCCAGGTCCCCACCCACCTCGCCCGCGAGGTCCTGCCGCCTCACTACACACGTCCCGATGTTGTAAGTGGCCATTCCCCCCCCTCTCGCCCCTTCTGACTCCGTCACTCATCTCCGGCTGACTCCCAACGCAGACCTTCAACATGCAGAGAATAGCCCTTCTTCCCGTGGCCCTTGGCACCTCCCCGCCCGACCCGGAACTCATCCACCTCGCCATGCAGGACAAAATCCACCAGCCCTACCGCCAGACCCTGATCCCGGGCCTGGGCCAGGTCGTCGAGAGCATGTCGCCCAGCACGCAGCCGGGTTTCCTCGGCGTGTGCCTGTCTGGCGCTGGCCCCACCATCCTGGCGCTCGCCACGAGCAACTTTGAGGAGATTGCCGAGAGGATCATCAAGATCCTCAAGGAGAACAATGCCGACAAGAATGTCGGCTGCCAATGGAAGGTCCTGGAGCCCGCTGAGGGCACGCAGGTCATCCGGTGAACAGGGGGTCATGAGAGTCGTTTGTTTTTGGAAAGGAAGGGACATGGAAAGGAAGGGACAAAAAAGGGGGGGTTCTTGTTTCGGAGAAGAACATTATAGAGGTTGGGAATTCTAGAAACTCCTTATGATACCCACATGACCACCGGGATCCTCGTGACGATACGGTCCCGGTTCTCTCTATGCGCGTCGTGTACTCGGGCTCGTCGGCGGTCACGTCGCCACCTTGGCCTTGTACTTCTCGAGCCTGTCCTCGAAGCGCTCTCCGTTCCAGACCTCTTTACCGTTGACCACCTCCTTCTTGGGCGGCCCGATCTGCTCGATCACGAAACTGGCCGCGACGGCACCCCACGCGGATGCCAGGGCATCGTCCCCCGTCTTCGCGAAGGCGACCGCGAATGCGCCGAGGAAGGCGTTGCCGGCGCCCGTGGGGTCGACGACCTTGGGCGAGCCGTAATCGTGGAACGGGGGCCGCCACACGGGGCTGCCACCCCGGCGAACGGTCAGGCAGCCTTGGTCGCCGCACCTGATGACCGTGATTCTCCTGTCGGACGTGTCGGGGGCGGAGGGGCCGCCCGGGAGGTCCTCGCCGCCACCGCCTCCGCCGCCTCTGGCGAGCCGGACGGCAAAGACCTCGACCAGCGCTCTGTTGTAAGGGATCCCCGGACCCTCCTCCACGCCCATCATGCGCAGCAGCTCGTGGTCGTTTGGCGAGCAGACGTCCGACCAGCCAACGGCTCGCATGTGGTCGTCCTCCCTGTCGGAGATGCCGATGGGCGAGGGCTCCCATGCGACCAAGGGGTGAGGGCTGTCGGCGCCTGCACGGCGCGCCATAAGGGCCGAGACATGTCGCTCGAGGTCCTCGGGCGTCGCCAGGACATGGACGACCGACGACTCGAGGAGCGAGGCCGGAAGCCGGTCCACGGTTGGGTGGAGAGGGGGCGTGGTGTACCGGAACGTTTTCTCTGCCCATCACCGTCAACACGCGCTCTGCGTCAATGAAAAAAGAAAAAGAAAGGGGGGGGACGGACTCCCAAAAGCGTCATTCTCGTACTCCAAGAGGCCCCTGGTCGAGCGTGCACCGGGCACCTGTTCCAGGTGCACGCTGACGCCCCATTCCTCGATTTTTTCCCTTACCGAGAAAGGGAAGTCGGACCCGGCCGTGATGAGGCAGCAAACGGTCGCGGACTCGTCCTGCGGGACGGCGAGGCGGGCGCCGAGAGTACCTGTTCACTCAGACGTGGCTCAGCAATGCGCCCCAGGTCTCGGCGGGCAGTTGGGGGGGAGGAAGATCCCCAAAACAGGCTTAGAAAGAGAGGGCAAGGGGAGCAAGCAAGTAGGTAGGGCATGTACCGTAGAAACCGGAGCCGCCGGGGATGTCGCGGAGGATCCTGCCGTCCGGGAAGCGAATCTCATCGAGGACGACCATCCCGAGCGATACGAAAGCCAGAGCCGGCGCGGGGAGTGGGTCCGGAGGAATTCGGGGCGTGGGTGCGGTCATGATTGGGCTGGCACGCGCAGGAATCACGTATAGACTCGTGCATCAAAGGGAAGGGGGGCGGTTGTGACTTGTTGAGCCCGAAGTGAGGACTCACACTCTCCACAAATAACCCCTCCCCGTCAATTGTGGACGAAGAGGAACGCAACCTGATTGGATCGCCGGCGTCGCGAGAGCATCGTCGTGCCGGCGGAATGCAAAAGCGAATTTGTTCCCTCTTCCCGCGCTGCGACAAAACGGTAGGGAAGGCATGCGATTCGGTAACTGAGGTCTCGCTGGGGCCGTGTATAAGACCGCTGTCGAGTGCACTCCCTTTAGAAACACAGCCTTCTAGCTGTACCGGACCGGAAGCCTCATTGCAGCGCTACCGGTTTTTCTGTGGGTTGAGCGTGACAGCGGTCCGGTGGTAGATACCGCTTTCCGAATCTAATCCAACTTTTGCGAAGAAGGGCCCGATGTTGTCGGGCTTGACAAAGCTGCTGAAATGGCCTATCGCGATGATGGCATCCCATACGTCAGGAGACTTCTAGGTGAGGGCCGAATCAGTAATAAGCACGATGGCTGGGGGCGAGTTCTGTTGTAGGAGGTTGAGGGCACTGGCTTGCTCTTTAGCCTATTGGATGTTTGCCTTTTCTAGGAGTTGACTAACCAGGCTGGCATATGTCACTTCAAGAGAAGGGTTGTAGTTTAATGAGACGGCCATGACGAAGGCCTTCGATTGGGTTGTGGCACTTATGATGGTGATGTGAAATGAATGCGTCTTTATTGTTTAGGCCTTTATTGAGGGATGAGACTACGGGAGGTAAGTATTACATTCCTAGGTGATTATGTAAGGGCTGCGTATATAAGTATATATACGCTTACAGTTCATTAGCTGCATTGCGTCGTGCTGCTGCTGCTTGCTTTGTCCTGGCTAATTAGCTGCCCTGAAGTAATAGGAGGGCTCATATAATATGTAAGATTCGTTAGTGGTTTTGGGGTGGGATATGGACTAAATCTAGCTATATACCTAACCTTGGTACGTACGGATAATCTATTACAAAAGCAACCCCATCACTAGTTGTAAACATGCATACACTAAGGGGCTGCACCTGTATTACCGCGCTGTGTGGTATACAGGCTGCTAATAGACTGATAGACTTTATACTATTATTGAACCCCCATAACTTATAAGGAAGCCAACTACTGACATCAGTACCGAGGGCCCCTAGTCCTCTGACTGTATTCTGCGACTTGGAGACAAAATGCAATTGGCTCATTATATTGCTTTCATTACTTATAGTTTCAAAAGACTTTCAGAGATAGCGTCAGCTTGTATTGAGGAGCCGTTAAGCCAGTAGTGGCTTCTCATACGACTTAATTGTAACAAGGTGCAAGGAACTGAGAAAGTTGAAAGTATACAGGGTCTACTTTGGGTTCTAGAGGGCTACACAAGTGGAGGTATGTTGGCTATTGTACTTAACGTTAGACAACAGCTGAATTAGAAATTTGTTTATAGAAACGCTGTACTACGGTTTTCTTTTTAACAATGTACTAAACATTAGGAAAAGTTGAATCTTGAAGAGATTAATGCCACTCCAAGACCTTGAACCATCATATTAGAGTAGCAACAGATATTACTTAAAGTTGACTTATGTTGTAGTGGCTTTAGAACCTTGAGAATCGAGGGAAATTAACACCGATTTGCGCAAGCGTATTAATTCCAGCTTCAGGCTATGATACAAAAGCTCACTTCAGAAAAAGGGGTTTCTTATCTGCTCTGGTGGAGTTAAGGGCACGCCTTCCTCTTCCGTTAGTTCCTAGTTCTGTTGCGATACCTAGAGGCATGTATAACCCAGGAACTTTCACGGGACAGATTCGGGCGTGTTTACCAGTGTCACAACAGGGCCTGTCGTCCGTCAGCCATGATCCTGGGGTCGTACTACTCTTCTCCGTCTTGGTTCCTGCAGGAGAAACTGTGTTTCCACGCTCGATACATTTCAGTGGTATAGAGATGTTCGGGTAAGAGTTTGGATGATTAGATAGACTTACTAAATAGCGTGTGTCATTATGACTTGTGTTGGGAATGACAGCGCCATTCATATACACAGGAAGCTAGGTAGATCACAGTCCTACGTATAGGTCGTCAAACCGGACAGAAGCCAAGAGATCACGGCAAAATGGCTGTCGCACTACTGACCGATAAAGAGCCTATTATAAGTGCCTGCCAGCAGAAAAGCTTAGATCACGGACTAATTCGCTATCAATACTTTTTTTGGTGTGCGCACAGCAGAGGACTTAGGAATGTTAGCCTAGATCCCCTCCCTAGTCTAAGAACGCAGCCGGATTCACCTATTTGCGTTTCGATTCATTGTCATCTACCAGAGCAGTTAGCATGAAGAATCTCCCGTTCTACGACATCGCTCGGTGGCAGGTACACGAAACTGAAGATGACTGCGACCTCATTATACAGACCAATAACAGACAAGCCTTCTATTGCACAGTCTTTCCGTCAAATTTTCAGCGATCACTCCAGCTCACAGACCAGTGGACTAAGTCTTACCGTCCATCAGATGTTGAGATATTGTACAATCGCTCTGAAGACGTGTTAATCAAACGACTACACAGGGTCCATGTTGATAGTGTAGTCAAGTGTCACTTCAAACCTTTTGGGCTCTCATTTGGTGCAGCACGTGCAAAGAAGGAGCTTGTAACGTTAAAAGTAATCACTACAGCGTGAATACCTCCTCCCCCTGAAAGCATAGATCTGTTGCCTACACAGAGTTGTTTACGACAGGGACAGGTTAATAGGAATACTGTCTATTTGGATTAACACAAAGGGGGTGCTGTTAAAAGCAAGAGCAGAGCAGAACCCACCCGATCTGAGGAAGCGTTGGAAAACACAGATCAACACATCTTTGGAGAAGCTGCACCAGAAGGGCATCACCTGGGGCGATGTTGAAGATGAGAATGTTCTTATCGACAGGGACGACAACGCATGGATCATCGACTTTGGGGGCAGTTATACCTGTAGATGGGTTGACAAGGAGAAGGCTGGGACACTGGCAGGCGACGCACAGGGCTTAGCAAAGATACTCGATATTCTTCAGTAAGAGACATGGAACCCAGCGCAAAACAGATGTGGCTCACCGGTTCCTAAGACATGAGATTGTTTGCGCTACATCGACTTAGCTACCTTCCCCAAGTCGGACGCGTCCTGTCGCTCTGCGCCGCTGACAACGTCGTCTGAAGCCCATTACGAATTGTCCCAACCTCACCGCCTTTCGAAACATACAAGAACCGTCTTTTGAGACGAGAGTCGGGGTTTGGCCAGTCTTGGGGGCAGAAACGTATGTTCCCGGAGGAATCCATCATCGGTCAAGGTGTATAATATCCAGCCATTGTGATCAAGGAACACGAGATTACCATCAATGTCCCCAGGGGCATGGGCACTTCTTAGGAACTTTTTTTTAGCAGTTTCAATGACTTTTGTGGATGTGTCACAGTTTGGAGGGCTTTTGCCTATTCCAGAGTGCAAGTCGACTGTATGTTAGCTTCTGCTTCAGTAACTGCTTTAGCCGCTGAATTGATGTTTTCCGTAATCACTTTAGCCCCTTCCCCTGCGCCCTGTTAATAACCTTTATCTTCGCTGCGTTATACGTACTGTATTTCCAGATGGTCGATGCGTAGTTCTTGTGGGTTCCATCACTGCTACGAAGTATTGTCTCGCTGTTGACAGCGAAAGGAGCTGAAGTTAACTGAGCTCCAGTACAGCTTCACGGCTGCTTGGCACCATTTCTGCGACGTGGTGCTCGAACTGGAGATCGGTATCCAACCCCCCCCTAGAACCTTTACATGGTCTTTAGACCGACGATGTCCCCCTTGATATGGAAATGGACCAGTCCTCTGGCTGTCGCCACGCTTGGCACATTCACTGGAACGACCACTGCCTGAAAATATTGGAAGATTCTCCAAGAGTGTCAACGTATCTTTGCCAGGGAAACACCTGACAGCTCCACGACAGCCTTGTGCGGAAAGAGGCAACCACTCTTGCATCGCTTAGAGCTGTGTTATCAAGACTGAGTGGCTAATTGTATTGGGTGATGCAGCGACTCTACACATGTGTGGCTGCAGACAAGCGGCCAAAACAATTGATTGTTTATTCCATGCATACAATGAACAGCGTTAGAGCTGATTATTAGGAAATCCTCTACTAATTATATAGTATTTTTTCTAGTTAGATTACTAGTAAGCGCTAGAGAAAACACCATAATATTACCATCCTGTTGCGTAATAATTACAATATGCTAGCTTCTTCCTGCCCCAGGTGCTTCGGGGGGGCGGGTTTTCTGCGTTCCTCCTTGGGCGTGGCCTCAAGTTGAACATCGTCTCCCTGATGATCATCCGAAGGTGCCCCCCATCCTCCCCCAAGGACAGAATGAGCGGTGAGCCGGGGGGGCGGCCGCGACCTCTATCATGTCTGCCCAATAGGAGAAAATGGAATGCCAAACCTGGCGTTCCTGATCGAAACTCTCTAGCCCCAATCCCGCAAGGTGCTTCCTCGTCGTGGTGCTTATCTGTTGTTCTATATCGTATAATCGGTCGCGTACATACATCGATCGCATACATACCTACCTTCTCAGACAGTCTTGCATTCGCATCCTGCATACAGCATGCATGCACATCATGGCGGAAAGGCGTAGGAACATGTCTGTTTGTCCCAGTCTACGCATAGCACGTCCCTCGATTGCTAATCGCCGCCGCCGCGGCCACACGAGCGAGTCAACGCCAGGCCGGACGCGGATAGAGCGTTTGCCAGATAGGGGCAACCGGCCCTTCAGTCCCCTTTTGCATCATTCCAGCTTGTACCTGCTCGACTGGTGTGCAGATTCCCACGGCGCGATCCGCCTCGCGGGGGTAGTTCTGGTTCCTAAACGGCTGACGGGAGAAACAAAGCCCATAAACTAGCCAAGTACTACCATGGGCGAATCGGCCCCGACACGCGAGATGCGTGGCAGCGTGAGCACGGCCGCTGACGCCCGACGCCGACGCCGACGCCGCCTCGAGCGCCGAGAGGTGCTAGATATACAGGGCTGGGTAAAGAAGGAAGAAGAAAGGAGAAAAATGAAAGAGGACAGACTGGAAGCTCATGGCCCATCTCGAAGAATTGCTTGGGGTGCCAGGCCACTGGTTTTCTTTGGGGTTTCCCTCGCACAGACTCGCTCGCCCTGTGCTCCTCCAGGACGGGAGGGCAAAGCAAATATGTACGAACGAACCCCCACGGCCACGGATTGGTCTTAACTTCGGCGGCATTCCCTCCCCTTCGGGTTCTGGGGGCAGGTCGTGTCACTGTCTTATTTTCGCATGGGCGTGGGTATCAGAATGTCACGTCTGCATCGCTGGCCTCGGGCGCTTCTCGAGACAGCCGTCGTCACTGACAACACACGTCCTCGGCAGCCTTTGCGTCGTTTCGCCTGTCTCTGAATGATTTCACAGGGCAAAAAGTAATGCCGAGTTCTTATAACCGGCGGACAGCAGCAGATCGAGACGCCGTCCGATGTGTAGCCTGCATAAGCTTCTTGGTGAGATTTGGGTGAGAAGAGCATGGGTACGGAGCCAGTGACGAAGCAAACGCTGTATTTGCAATGAAGAAAGGCGATGGGGCGATGGAGGGTGCCTGACGTTCGCTCCGGGCGGCAGCTGCCACTCTAGCCAGCGCCTCTTACGATGCACGCTGCGTTGTCGAGTCGGAGACGGTTTGCTGTGTCGATGGCGAGTCGGCGACAAGCAAGCGTGGTGGAGGGAGCAGAGTACGGGTAAAGCGCAGAGGGAGGTTCCCAACGATCTGGCCATGCCGCCGATCGCCCCGCCCGCCTGACCAATCACGCCGACGGCATTTCCAGGAATGTCGACGAAGCACGGCGGGCGGCACCCCATCCCCGGAGCAGTGGACCCGTCTTGCCAGCCCCGAACCCCAAGCGGTGAGACAAGAGAGCTCTCTGCGAGCTCGCCTCCATCTGAGATTCTCACCGTGTACCCGGGGGTCCTGGTCGTTCGCCCTGTCCACTATCTGCCAGGCTGTCGAAACCTGACTATGCTTTCCTGCCCCCTCATCATTGACAAAAATTGCAATTTCCACCAGGTAGGTAGTTTTTTCTTGGCCCAGATCGATCGTCGAGGGGGAGGTTCAGGATAACGACATCCCCTCCCCCCCTTTTGGAACTTCTTGTTCACGACATAGGGCCAATCAGCCAGTCAAGTCGATAGAGAGAACCTCATTCGGGCATGGCCAGCCGAGACGCAAGCGATCATGGGGTCGCAGGTTGCAAATCCACTCCCCCCAGCACCTTAAGAGGGACCGCCTTGAAGACGTGCCTTAGTGCCTGCCCCCCAGCGGCAATGCGGCAGGGAGGGAGCAACGCTTGCCCCAGCATGCCATGGTAGACAAGGCGTGGCAGGGGGTGGAGAAGCGAACCAACCCTCCTGGGCTCCAGGGCGACAGACGGGCGAGGAAGATGCCAAGCACGTATTTGTTTCTAGACCAGACACCAGGACGTACCGTATCCTCTCAGTAAATTCGCCCATAGCTAATCCACGAGCTAACGGCAAGGGGTATCGCGGCCGCTGTAAGAGGTATAGTGTGCTGGCAGAAACAGGGATCTAGAACGGCAAAAGCAGGGATTAGTCATTTACGTCAGCAGGAAGTTAAGGCGTCAGAACAGTAAATAAAGGGCAAGTGGGCAAGTTGGTGGATAAGTGGATAGGCTGACCGCTTTCTATAATAGGTTTAGCGCCACAAGCGGCCACTTTGCTCCTTGCCGTTAGCTCGTCAATTAGCTATGGGCGAATTTACTGAGAGGATACGGTAATCGACTCGAGAGGGTCAAACACCAGAAAGGACGTGGAACCGGGTAAGAAAGAGGGAAGGAAGGCATTGAGGTGAGAGAGAGAAAAAGGAAAAAAAAGAAAGAAGGAGAAGCGGGAATGGATACGAAGAGGGGACGAAAGGGGGAGGTGCCAATGCGCGTCTCGGTCGACAATGGCCAAGCGGGAGACCAGCCGTGCCTTAACGGTTCATCCGAGTGCTTAAGATGGCTCGATTGAGGTGGATTGAGGTGTAGGAGTGACGGCTGTCAGTGGTGCGAGTGTGAGAGCTCTCCTGCGTCCTGCGAGTATGAGCCGTAAGCTGCGAGCAGTGAGCTGAGTGAGTGAGTGAGGGTTGCCGTGTGAGTGTGAGTATGAGTGTGAGTGTGAGTGTGTGTGTTTAGTGGTGCGTGTTTGTTGGTGTGTGGTGTGGTGTGGTGTGGTGTGGTGTGGTATGGTGCGGGAAGCAGCCAACAGAATCCTACTCAGGTGTAGGGAAGGTGAGGTACGTACACTGTATGCTATGCAAGTACTTAGGTACCTACTTCCCTGCCTGAGCATGTACACGAGGTACGTACCGGAAGAAGGAGAGGCCCGCAAACTGGCCCAAGCTCCCTCAACGTCTCGAAGCTTTGGTCTCTTCCTTCTTCCTTCCAGAGTCTGGCATGGCGCCCAGTCTCCTGGCCCCGGTTCCGGTTTCTGATCATGTTCATGTTCCTGCTCGCCTCGAGTTTCCCCTGAGAGCTGTTGCACCCCGGCAGCTCTATGTTGCGTGGTCAACAAGCACAGTACAGCACAGCATAGCATAGCATAGCCAGACCCGACTCAGCTCAACAAGCATTTTCGATGGATACGGGCTCGGTACCGCATGATTTGCAACGCTGCCGTCGTATCATCCCTGAATATCTCGCGGCAGAGAGGCAATGCCGTACGCTACGTACGTGGTATCTAACACTCAGTGACTGACTACGTGTACGCACTCCCGACTCCATACCAAACAAACAAACAGACAGGAATAGCAAAGCCCGGTGGAATACCACACACGTACGCGGGTCGAAACAGATCCGCAAGATTGGCGCAGTACGTCGTAGAGATGAGACTTGTTCATGCAGCGGGGCCTACGGTGCCGGCCAGCAACAAGCAGCTGCGGTGGCTGGCTGGCGAACCATCCGTCTACCAGTTATGCACAGAGTAGAGACTTTGATTGTGTATGTATTTGGTTTCTGTTGAGAACCTCTAACTGTCGTCACCCCAGCCCGGCCCATTTCTTATCGGTATCGCCTGGGGTGGTGTGGAGGAGGGCTCCACGCAGAGAGAGAGCTTGAGCTTTTGGAAACGTCGGAACGTGTCTGTCTGAAGTTCGCTCTTGGCTGTCTGTCTCTGCTCTTTTTTTTGGTCCGCAAATCAAGGAGCGATCAATGCAACGAACGACGACTGGACACCTCTCTCCCTTGGGTTTTGGAAGATCTGGGATCTGCCGTCACCTCGGCCTCGAGTTTCCCTCGTTATTTCCTTCCTCCTTTGACAGTTCCCGCCCACTCGGCCAACCCTGCGTGCGAGATTGATAGATGGCCCGGCAATCTTTTGACACGCGGTATGGATTCGTAAAAATATCACCGTGACACACGGACGAGTGCTCACAGCACACTGATGCCTGCGACGGCTCCCTCCGCCCGTCGTCGTCCGAGCACCTTGCACGCTATGGCAACGCATGCACACTATTCCTCCATCCCGCCTGGGTGCTCGCCTTGGCAGGGTCACGAAGCTGCTTCATCAGAGTGCCTGATCGCTCGGATTTCCTTTCCGGGCTGGCTTGTGCTCCGTAAGCTGAGACTGTCCATTCGTCTCTCTCTCTCTCTCTCTCTGTCTCACTCTCTCATTCTCACTCTCTCAGGCACTTCCTCGCTCTCTCGGTACCATTTGCCCTTTTTCACGTCGCCTCATTTCTGCATTTATTTGCCAAGGCCCTGATCATCCAACCCCACTATGCAAATCAATTCTGCAAACGGCAGCCGTTCCAGCCTACTGCTATGCAGCATGGCAGAAGCCCCTCCAGAGTCCAGACAAGAGACACGCAGGCGTTGACGGCAGCGTGTCAGTCTACTAGTAATATTAGCCGGCGCCTCGCGCGAGAAAGTCGGTCCACGAAACCTGATCCCAGCTCGTCCAGATTCAGCGGTCAACCTCATAGATTCCCACCGCTGAGCATGCCACTTCTGCACCATCACCCACCCCCCTCTTCCCCGTCGACAGCTCACGCGCGTCCCTCCCTCCCTCTCTCCCGTGTCAACTGTAGTATACATAGTAGTGTATCTGCAGATCGGCCGGTTCTGGCCCCCACTCCTACCTGTAGACCCTCTATTGGGTAGTTTCTGTTATGTCTGACACAAGTCTGTCTCCGAGAGAGGTCCAGTGCTCGCCTCATGTACGAGCAATAGCATACATAGTGATGGTGTTAAGAGTAAGTAAGACGACCCCAAAACATACCTTTGAATGCCGACACGTACATCGCATGGCCCCACTCAACCAACCCAGTATGTAGTGTAGTACGGGTAGCGTACATTGACTCTCGTCCCCTGTGTGCTTCCCCCCTGCTGACCCTGATTGGATCCCTCCTCAACAATACCAGCCGATACTTTGTACAGGGGCCATGTCACTTACTCGCACCAGAGCCTCTTTCCCTCTTCTCTGTCTCTCGCCCGACTCACTGATTGGGGCCTACAACTTGGGTGTGTGCTGACCCCCACAGGTCCGGTACACAGAAATCCCACCGAGTAATCAGCGAAGAAAATGGCTTTTCGACAGGGACAGCCCACCCCGCTCCACATCCCGGCACCCGGCTCGCCATCCGCCAAAAGCCAAAATCCAAACCGCAGACGGTACCTAGTCAGTTGGGCCAACAACGCTGCTGTTGCTGTTGCTGTTGCTGTTGCTGTTGCTGTTGCTGCCGATGCTGACCTTGCGCCTCCCCATCCGCCGTACTGTCCACACCGGACCTCCGGGTACATCCACTTCCTTCGTACCTCTCACACGGACGACGGGTGTGACCTGTACCTGATCCCCAATTCCCCGTTTCCTACAACGTCAAGTACCCTTGTTTTTATACCATTTTCATGTCCCCGGCGCCCTGGTTGCTACCGCGGAGAGAGCATCCATACCGTAAAGCCATTCCACCACCGTTCTCGTCCCATCATCACCCAAAAACGAACCCAGACCTGGGACGCCAGGGCTCCCATCCCATCACCCCCAATCCAAACCTGGCTTACCTGGCTCTAGCTCATCTCTCCCGCTTTCAGTTCCAGGCCCAGGGGTGTGAACGCTTGTCCTTGTGAGAAAGAGAGAGAGAGAGAGAGAGAGAGAGAGAGAGGAAGGGAGAGAGGGAGAGGGTGGGCGGCTGTGGGTGCGTGGTGGTATCTGTAGCATGTCTCTGATCTCCAATCCGTCTCCCGCCCTCCTCGTCCCTCGTCCCTCGTCACTACCTCTGTGCGTATATCTGCCGTGCGAACCCCCCTCCTTTCTCTCCCTCTCTCTGCTCCCCTCCCACCGTCCATCATCTCTGTAGCTTCCAACTCCTCCACACTTGCTCATCGTGCCACCATACTCATCACCGACCAATCTCCCAGTTCTCGTCTCTCTTCTCACCAACTGTCCAGACCATCCTACGTCTCCTCATCCCAACCACAAGCAAACCTATACTTCTAGCCTGGTCGGCACTTGCACCACTTACACCACCCACCTTCATCGGAGCTCCCCCAACCACCACCACCACCACCCAGCCGTCACCATGTCGCGCATCACCGCCCCCGTCGCAAAGCTCACCCGCTCCCTCAACTCGGCCGCCACGGCCAGCCGCTCCAGCGGCCTCCTCGAGTCCCATTACAATGTCAACAAGGGCGCCGTCCTGATGCCCAAGTACGCCGAGCTCCTCAAGAACCGGAGCCCCCGCGAGCACGATGTAAGTTTCATTCTTCCCCCCCCCCCCCCCCCCCTCTCCCCTCTCCCCCAACTTTTTCTCGGAGAAATTGGAAAAAAAGATCCACGGACTAACACCCGCCGCCAGTCCGCCCGCACCCTCACAACAACCCACCGCCCGACCCCGCAACCTACGCGCGCCTCCCCCTCCCACCGCCAGATGCAGACCTTCGCCGCCTCTTCGGCGCCCTCCGCCGGCGGCCCCGTCGCCTCCATGGACTTCACCACCCTGCCCATGTCCTACGAGCCCCTCCCCGCCGCCAACGAGTTCGCCGGCATGCGCATGCCCCTCCTCCCGGACGCCTTCACCACGAAACACCGCTCCCTCTACGAGCAGTCCCCCGCCGACGAGGTCCTCCCCTCCTCCAGGCCCGAGATCTCCATCGTCGCCGCGCACCCGGAGAACGTCACCGCCGCCGCCCTCACCGAGGTCGAGGCCTTCGGCGTCGACGGCGTCGAGCTCAAGTGGGCCCACGAGAGCGAGCTCGCCGCCGAGGAGGCCCAGCCCGGCTTGAGAGACCTGTGGAAGGGCCTCGTTGACGACGTCATGGGTTCGCAGCAGCAAAAGGCCGCCTTCTAGACGGCGACGAGGGGGGGGGTTGGGGGTTGGGGGTTGGGTCACATGTATCCCACTCGCAGAGACGCCCTCCTCTTTTGTTGAGAAACCAGACGATACAGAGAGACAGAGAGACAGAGGAGCCGACGATTATCATGATGTGAAACTACAAAGCAAAGCGGTTGATGCTCTTTGACGGTTGAATCTGCTCGGGAAAGAAGCAGTTTGCAACGCTAGGGGCTTTTTTTCTTTTTTCTTTTTGGGTTTGATTACATGTTTTTAATCGCTACCTGATGAGCGGGTATGGATACGGAAACCGAGGGACGGGACGGGAAGGGACGAAGCTATTTATCCCAAAAGGATGAGAGACTGCGAGATGTTATAACTGGGCATAAGAACCCGTTATGAATTCCACGGCTCCAATTGATGATCCTGTGAAACGATCAGGAAAATACAAAATATAGAAATAAAGGACGAGATCCTGGTCAAAACACATTCTGCCCCGGATGAACACTTGGACAACTTTGTGATTTGTGATAACTTTTGATTGCCAAATTTGGTATCGCCCTGTGCCCAACACTCCTATATCGCGAGCATGATACCACGATTCCGTGTGAAAACTAGCTGGTTTGCTGACATCTGAAGGCCCTGATTCCTTCCACCCCCCTCCCTCCCACATTACATAGGCATCCCGGCGCGGTACCTTCTGCTTGCTATCCGCCTCGGACGCTTTACGCCTAGTCGCTTGGTAAGGCATTCCCCGTAGCATGCCCCCCGGATGCCCAAAACTCCGTCCCCACGCGAGACTCCCGCCTACTTCACCGCTGCTTCGCTCATCGCTTCTTCATCGTCGGACGAGGCTTGCACTCGTCCGCCTGGACGGGGTGCAACATCACCTTGATGGGGTACTGCTGAGTGTTGTGCTGGAAGCCCTTGCTCCAGTCGTAGCTGATACCGTATGCGAAGATGGATCCGTTCTTGTTGAAGGTGGTAGCCGTGATGCTGCCGCCTACGTTCGGATATCCCTTGAGGCGGTGCTTCGCGTCCTTGTCCCAGAAGTGGAAGGTGCCGTCCGAGCCGGCGGTGCTGAAAGTGCCGTGGACGGGGTGGAAGGAGATGTCGTTGACGGCGTAGACGTTTGTGACGTTGTTCGCCGGGGGGTCGCGGTGGCACTTGAAGGAGAAGTTGGAACTGTAGAGGGTGTGTTAGCCGACTGTCTGCCTGCGCGCCTTGCGTTCGCGGAGGAACTCGTGGCCATCGTCAAAAACTTACCTAGCGTCCTTGTCCTCGACGTACTGGATCGCGCAACGGCCCTCGATACTGCCGATGGCAAAACCAGCGGCGTCGGTGAAGCAGCTGACGACCCTGGTCTGCCACTTGAGGGGGCTCTGGAGCGTCTTGTAAAACTTTGTCGGGTTCTTGAGGTCCACAACATTGATGTACCGGTCGGCGGTGCCGATGACGAGCAGGTCGTTGCGCACGTCGATGGTGTAGACGCGCTCCTGGCATGTGAGCGTCGCCGCCGGCGTGGGCGACCGCAAGTCCCAGTACTTGACCGTCTTGTCCCAGGAGCCCGACACGGCCATGGTGCCGTTGGCCGATTCGAAGAAGCGGACGCACTTGACCGGCTGTTCGTGCTCGCCGATCTTGATTGTTTGCTGCGAAGCAAGGTCGCATGCCTTGACCGCCTTGTCGGCGCCGCCGGAGAGGACTTTCGTTCCGTCCTTTTCGGGGGTAGGGTTAGCAAAAAATGCTATACACACATCCGAGGGTGTGCCATGTCATCTTACCTTGGAGAAGTCGCAGTTCAACACGGGTCCATCGTGCTCGTAGGCGTGCCGCCCCTCGCTCTGGCCATTTTGGGCAATCTCGTATATTCTAACCTTCTTGTCCCAACTGGCCACAGCCAGAAAGTCACTCGCCTGATTCTGGGCCGGGGAGAATGCAAGGTCCGAAATGCTGTCCTCGGGAGGGTTGTTTAGCGCGACGTCCTGCTTCAAATCGCCGACAGTATTGCTCGAGGAAGAAGAAGACGCGCTGCCGAACAGGCCCGACATGATGTCGTTCGTAAGCCGATCAATATAGGTGTGGAAGAGCTATCGATTCGGAGCGTTCGTGGAAGCGGATGTGCATCAATTGGTTTCGGTTTGCTAGGTCGAACGGTTAAAGGAAATTCAAAGGTCGACGCCAGCTTCATATAGCTGCTGAAATCGAGTCTTGGGAGGAAGCTACGAGTAACCCAGGCAGGAAGGCAGTCGCGATGCGAAAAGTGAACGCGGCTTCCCTATTGGTTGTAAAGCCACAAGGCAGGTGGTGCCTGCGTGCCTGCCTTACGAAAACTGCAAGCACTAACCAACGTAGCTGGATGTCAAGCCACAACTGGGACCTCAGGCTGGCGCTAGGTCTAGCCACAGAGGGCGCCCCACCTGCGGCTCGACTTTTTCTTTATAAAAAAAACCCTTCGAGCTTCACACATCCTCTTCCCTTCTTCTTCCTCTCCAACCCCCCTCGCCCGACAAATCGCCATCGAAGCTCACAAACAGAGACGTCTTTTTTTCTAAAAAAGGCGTCTCGGTCCCCTGGACCAACAGCGCTTTGGGAGAAAGTCCCCGGACACACGTTATTCTTCCCCCTTCCGGGGGGGAGGAACAAAAACGCCGCGGAAACGCGCCGCCATAGAAGCACAGCGGCTGACCTCCAAGACCTGCGTCCGGACGTAATGGCCTCTTTTTTTTTCTTTCACGCCCCGCCCCGTCGCTACATCGTTGGTGTTCTGCTCCTCTCGAGACCCGAATCTGCCTTGTCCCGGGACCATCTGGATGAAGATATGAGTCCGCGCCCGGGACCGGGGAGGCTGGGTGCGCTTGTGCGGAGCAGGTGCCTTCGATGACGAGGTGGCCGCGTGGGAGAGGTCGCTTGCCGGGCGAATTCAAGGGTTCGTCGGAGGGTCTTTCGTCGAGATCGATAGGTATGCGATTGCGCGCCCTCCTCTTCGCCGGGGGAGGGCGGGTTACTCGATGGGGCTTATTCTTGGTGCGAGGGGGGTTCAAACCAAACCTGGACATTTCTTGCCTGTCCGCAATGGGGGCTAGACACCTATACTCTGGACTTCGTGGGAAGTCTCTTTCCGTCAATGATGCCCCGGACTGGCGAGAGGGTCCTATTTGGATAAACTCCTTTCATGTTCGATGATGATTACCAAATAGAGTCAAGCACTGAGGTGAGAGTCCTTAGGGGCCGCCATTGTGACGACAAAACATGCGTTATGGTATCTGATGAACACTTTTACATACATCTTTCTTTTTGCATTATCAATATCAGCTGTTTTCAGCCAGAGAATTCTCTCGCCTTTGGCCCACGCACAAATGTTACAGTCAAATAGTAATAAAACATAATCCTTGGTATATATTGGAATGAAGCCTTCAAGTCGTGAACCGTACGCCAGCCCACCCTTTACCATTTCTCGTACACCCACCCATTACCCCCCCACCCTCCTAATAACTCCATAAACATGCAGATTATTCATTTCACGGCATTATGCCATATGGCGTGTTCCCGGACATCACATTAAGCCCCCGAGCACAACCTTGCCGATGTTGCCCATCTCCGTCTTGATGTGCGTTCTGCTGTTGTCCTCAAACTCCTTGACGACGCCCTGCACAATGATTTTGCGCACCTTGGCGTCCGCTTTCGCAAACAGTTCTGCTATCGGTGTCGACGTCTCCCTCGGCGTGGGCACCAGGGTCAGGACTTTGGTGTAGACGTCGATGAGCACCTCGCACAGCGTCGCAAACGTCTCGTAGAAATCGGGCTCGAACGGCAGCGACGGCGTCAGCAGGTGCGTGTAAACCTCGCCCGGTAGCAGGTCGTTGTCGCTGGACGCGAACGACATGACGCTTGCGCCCGCGCTCGACGAGCCCCCGATGCCGCCGTAGCTGCCGCCGCTCGCGGGATCCGAGTCAGTCGGGTACCCAATGTCATTGGCGCCACTCGTACTGCGCCGGGACTTGGCGCCCTGACGCCTGAACATGGACGGCAGCCGCGCGCGAGACAGCGAACTCGTGGAGCTGCCGCCTTCGCTGTGGAGCTGCTGGAACGACTCGAACTCCTGGAGGAGGTTGTTCAGGCTGCGGAGGAACTCGATAGGGGTGTTGGCATAGAGATCCACGATGGTGGGGAGGGAGAGGCCGAGCAAGAGGTAGTTCGTGGCGCGGCGAGCGAGTTTCCGCGATTCGTAGGAGGGCATACGGGCCAGATCGGGCTTGTCGAATAGGATCGTGTTGAACCAGTATACTCGGCCTTCATGGCTATCGGGTGCCAGTCAGCCGCCGTCCAAGACATGTCACGAGAGAGGTGAGGGGAAAGGGGGCACACATACGCTTTGCGCAGGTAGTCCAACGTGGATATCCTCTTGTTCGCCATTTCTAGCATCTGCATGTGCAGCACGACTGACTCACTCGACTGCCACATGTTGGGGTGCGTCGCAGATGGCGGGGGTTGCAGGCGGTCGCCGGACGCGAGACTCGTCGAGCCCGTCTGCGTACGGCCCAGCATCCTGGTGAAGCTGTCGGTGGAGGCGGGGCTCTGGATATTGTCCGTCTCGCGGGTGATCTTTGCGGCGGCGGCGAGCGCGAAGTCGGGGAGAGCGGGCGGGACGTTGCGGTCGGTGACTACGACATTGCCCCCTCCGCCGGAACTGGAAGCGCGGCGCTTGGACTTTGAGGGGGAGCTGAACGAAGTCTTTCGGCTGAAGGAATTCTTGCGATCCTTCAGCAGTATGCTGGAGCCGGAGGACGGCGGGAAGAAGGGCGAGAGCTGCGGTTGTGGTATTTGAGACTGGGGCTGTAGCTGCTGAGGTTGTTGCTGTTGCTGCTGCTGCTGCTGCTGCTGCTGCTGCTCGCCTGATGATGTGCCGGGGCGAGACTTGGAGGAAGAAGAGAAGAAGGAGGACGAGAAGAAGGGTGTATTGGCGGACGCGGGTAACGCGCCTGGTCGCTGCATGTCTATTTGAGTCCGCCAAAGGACCAGGCGGCTAGTCCTTGGAAAGAGCTTGCCGACGGGGGGTGGATGGATCTGGAAGTCGGAGGCGACGGGGGCCGCTCGTCAGGAAAGCGATAGAGGGAGGGGGCCAGCAACCAACAACCAGGTTCAGGAGTGTGGCGACGGAGGGCAGCGGACAAGACGCCGATTCGGTCAACGGGCTTGGTGTTGCGCAGGTCCAGATGTGGTGGACAAACAGGGTTGTAGTGTTGGTATGTCGCGCGTGCGTGGGACTATCGAGGAGCGAGTGACTTTCTGCTGCTGGGCTCCCGGGGTTGCGAAAGGCCGGGTTTCCTTTGTGCCGCCGCGGTCCTCGCTAGGTAGATTCAATTGTCCGTCGCTGGCGGGTGTGGCTCGCCTTTCTCCCCCCTTGCTTAGCACTACGATGGCTCGGATTGCTTCGTCTGCCAGGGGCTCTCTGGTTGGCCGGCTCCGCGTCCCGAGACCACTTATTTGCTAGGTTTCTGCTGACAAACGCTGTCATGCAGGGTGGAAATAGTTTGGACGCTCGCAATAGAAGCAGTTGGTCCGCTCTTGTCGTGTTGTTGAATGCCGGCGAGATGGGGGAGGAGTTTAGCTTATGCGTGAAATTGGGGAGGAGTTTAGCTTATGCGTGAAATTAATGCAGTGTCCCTTGCTGCTGGGCTTAGGACCGGCTAGCTACGGGTTGAGTTTAATGAAGAATGGAGACAGGGAGGGAACACGGCGCCGGGCGACGAGGGTTGCTTCTTGCTGTTCGAATCCTGACGAGCACCTGCGACGAAGCGTGATGCAAGTAAGACGGGCAGGGTGAAGCGTCAAGCGTCTTCAAGCGGGAGATATAGTAGCGGTAGTTGTACTGTTTACGTTTGTGTTTGGTTTATTATTGCTTCGACGGTACGAAAAGTGGACGAGCACAACTAGGATGTGATATCCTAGGGTGTCTGGAATTCCGAGTCGCCAACAGGCACGAATGCTTGGACCTTGGACGTGGGTTTGGCCGGTTAGGTGGGGGGGGGGGGGGGGGGGTTGCGGGGAGAGAGGGAAAAAGAAAAAAAAAAAAAAAAAAAAAAAAAAAAGACGCCGTGCGTTTTGTGTCTGTATGCTCCCCTCCCTTAGGGAGTTAGTAGGTAAGGATCGGATACCTGGGTAGGACTATGGACACGGAGTGGATGTGTCGCTGAGAGGACTACACTAGTGTAGCTGTTCCCAAGAAATGGGCCAGTGATTCCCGATGCAACGAACCTGTCCGTTTGCGCCTTTGTGTAGCTTGGGAAAGCGAACCTCGGGAATTGTAACTCGTTTTGGTTACTTTCTGAGGCCCTTGGCGGGGACCGGAGAGTTTTTATTTCTTCTAAAAAAGGCTGTCGAGTCGCCGATTACAGGACGAGCTTTTATCAGGGGGGGGGGGGGGGGGGCCTTTCCAGCTCGATACCACGTAAAAGAAAGAAGAAGAAAGAAGGCATCAATAAGAAGCAACAAGAGGTGGCGGGAAAAACTCGAGTGCGCTGGGCCGGAATTACAATAACAATCAATATACATCAATCATCCCTCTCATTTAGCAGCCGGCAGGCGACAGGAAGAGAGTTTCGAGGCCTAGCCGCTCTAGGCTCTCTCTCTTTCTCCTCCTCTTCCTTATCCTCGTGCAGCAGCCAATTGACTCAGTTCGACCATGCCGGCAGTCCGTTGTCCAAGCCCGCCCTTGCCGCCTTAATCCCTGCGGTCAAGCAAGACTCCTCTTGGTGACTGAGCGCCGTCGACGGCCGTGTCTGGGCCGATGTCGTGGCCGTGTTTCTCCAAAAGAGTCCAGACACGCCTCCATTCCGGACCCCTGAGTGGCGAGGGGTAAGGCGAGAGCCACCTGGTTTACTCTCGAGCGAGGCGAGGTCTTGGGATGCCGAGTTTGGTTGCGGCTTCGGCGGAAGAACCCTCCTTCGCCGAGGGCTGCTCGAAGGGGGAATGTGCTAGGAACGGGAACCTGGCAGAACCGCGCAAGCCACATATATACACACGCATGCCTCGCTCGGGGCGGCGACCTTCAGGGCCACGAGTTGACACTTATCCCTTGTTCTCGCATCCACAATTGGACAGAGGTCTCATATCACCGCCTTCATGTTTTGTCTGCCCAACGGCCGGGGGGGAGTACAATACAACACAATCCCTGCAGACAGACTACTGGCCTGGATGCGTTTCTTCATCAGAATCCCCCCGGAGGCCGTGCTGTGCATCCCCCCTCCCCCCCTTCCCGTTCCGGCGCTTCTTGGCCGTTATGTGCAGTGCTAAATAGGTCTGATGCCATCGTGAAACCCTTCTCCCCCGCCTCTTCACCAAAGCACATCTAAACGTACGCTGCTTCTCTTATAAACCAAAATCGACCGTCACCAAGGAAACGCACCGATCTTCCCCACCCTCATTCCGGGGTCGGGGAGATCATCTGCCTTCGAGAGGCCGTGCACAAGCAACATGCGCATATTCGCGCTCCTAAGAGCCACTGACGCCAGGCCGTTACGTCTAATGTAGTAGTCTGGGTCAGAAGGGGAGGGGGGAAACCTCGAACGACCACAGATGCGGTGCCCAAAGCGCAGAGAGAGAGAGAGAGAGAGAGAGAGAGAGAGCTACGGCCCCTCCTCGCCTGTAGGGCAGACGAGCACGCGCCTTGGTTGATCCTCCTCATTCCACCGCCTGCCATCCTTTTTCCCTTCTCTCCGGAAAAGACACCAAAAGGTTCCAGAAGCTCAGACTAGATTCCACGTGGAACGGACGCCCGACGAGTCTCTACCATGCCGCAAGCCGCGCGACTGTGCTTGTTAACTACCGAACGGTCTCGTCGCCACCGTCGTCAAAGACAGGTCACCCGTCGTGCCATGACCCGGGAAACTACCTAGCTCGAAGCACTGATCCGCACCATCCGTCTGATGAGATGGAGCTTGCGCCGAATGCCAATTAGTTGCTTCCCGCACCAGACGTCCCTTGCATCACGTAGCCATGCCGTCTGCTCTAGGTGAATCCGGGTGGCTGATCCGGATTCTTATCAGGCGGCTGCTTCAGATCGAACTTTAGCGGCGACTCATCCAAGTCCGAGGCGTGCAGCTGGTTGGCTATGTCTCATGGTCTCCGTCCTTTCTGTTATTACTATTGCTATTGCATTACCATTACAGATATCGGACCAATATGGCCCCAAAACTATGACGACACGTAAACCCCATCCGCCTTACGCCGCAATATGCGTCGCCGCTGGGAGCAGAGCCGACGTGGCCGTCGCGCAGACACAGCCTTGGCCCGCGATGCTCGTAATCGGCGGGGCGTCGCAGGTCGAGTACGGCTCGTACGCCTCAAAGGTCGGGTCCGGCTGCGGCTCGATGATCTCGGCCTTGACGAGGACGGGGATGATCTGGCCCGTCGACAGGCGGAAGGCGCGGTGGTTCAGCGACGCGAGGAGCTTGGTGATGTGGCCCGAGTGGGCCGTGATGCTGAGCCACGTCTTGTCGTCGGTGCGGAAGACGTCGTCGAGGACCGCCTTGGACCGCGCCGCGTGCGCTTCGTCCGTCTCGCTCTCGTTGCGGCGCCAGAGCCCGTCGTGCTCGGTGAAGCCGGCCTCGAACTCGAACGAAGGGAACGTCTCGGCGATGTACGTCTTGTCGGAGCGCCGGTTGCACGTGTGCACCGTGATGCCCTCGCGGAAGCCCTCCTTGACGATGGGCGCAAAGGGCTTGTCGGCGGGCACCCCGATGTCGCCAAAGGTGATGTTGGCGGTGTAGCCGCAGCGGATCAGGGGACTGGTGTAGTACGACTCGAAGTAGGGCATCTTCTGGGTCGCATAGCGGTCCTTGAAGTAGGCGTTGGCCTTGTAAGCCTCGGCCTCGCCGGCCGGCGTCAGGAGCGGGTCGGCCCAGCGCGCGGTGCCGTTGCCTTCTTGCTCAGCCCAATAGCACTGAATTGTTCGTGTTAGCCGGTGGAAGCGCAACGGGTATCTCGTCGCAGTCTTACGTTCCAGGCGGGGGTTCCGTAGAAGGACTCGGCGGCGTTGTGCCAGCCCTCACCGTGGCGGCCCATGAACAGCAACTTGTACTGGACGCTGTCGTTCTTGCGGCAGCCCGAGTTCAGGTACCGAACCCAGTGGTCGAAACGCTCCCATTGGGTCTTGACACCCTCGGGGTCGAAGTGCTTGTCGGTCGGGTACGTCCTGTTGAGCAGACCGAAGTTGACAGTCGCCTAGGTTACAGGGGGTGTGTGTGTCAGCGATCACCGACTCAACTCGCACGCGACAGGAGGTGGTGGACCAACATAGTCGAAGCCGGTCGGGTTGGTACTGGCGTCGTCCTGCAAGAAGTAGCCAGGAACAGACGTGAACTTGATGTCCTTTCCCTCGGCCTGCGGCCAGGCGGCGAGCGCAGTAGGCGCAAGAGCGAGGACGGTGGAAAGCACAAGAACCTTCATCTTGCTGGAAAGCGATCGTCGACAGGAGGCGCGAGAGATATGAACCTGGGGAGAGCTACACTGCAGCGTCGCATGCGGGAGGGCCCTAGATAAATACCACCAAATGTCGACGTCCAGCCCCCCATCGCGGCGGGATCCCCTTCAATCTTTACAGGACCATTGACGCGCCGTGCCGGGTCAATTTACCTAGATAGATCCTCGGGGAAGCTCAAAGTCGAGATCTCGTCCGAAGAGATATAGTACCCCCGGGGCTTGGAGAGTTGTGCTGGGTGACGGAGATCCCTGGCGGCGACCAATGGCAGGGCAATCTGGCATGCACGTGGGTGGTTTTCTAATGGGTTCAGCGTCCCTAGCAGCGGATGGGACCCAAACACGTTTTTGTTTGGTCGTTCCTGAGTGCCTGGGTTGTCGTTCCCGATGGAGACAGCCAAGAAGCTGAAATAAACTTATATGGGGAAGAAAAGAGATATCGATAGCATTATTGGATAAGTGTCCCCTCAGTGGACGGGATTCTTCGGTGAAGATGCCGTTAGAAGGACTTGCTTTCCTTCCGGGTTGAGTGCACCGCGGCGCTTCCCGTCTTGAACCTCTCTATCTCTATCGGCAGAGCCCCCTCCTCAGTGATAAACGGCATGGGTAGGCAGATTAAGTCAGGAAACCCCCGGAAGAAGTTAAGGCTCTCTTAGGCAAATCAGCTGACAAAAGGCTTCGCGGCAGAGGCGCGTAAGGCACCAAGAAGCCAGTTCAGGAACATGTGCCAATGCAGTCCGTCCGATGTCGTTTTCTACCTTATTTTCTGTTGGGACGAATTGACAGGTGGTGATGAACGGTCAACATGTGAAAGGGAGGGGCCACTCTGAAGCCACTGTGAGGAGCCATAGTGGGAAAGAGACCCCGTGCTCGCCGTTGCGTGGCCGGTCCGGCCGCTGGGAGCTCAGGTGGGTCTCGGCTATCGCAGTGGCGCTGGAACCTCGCCAATCACACAGCACCGCTACGGGAGCGGGACATCGCGAGTCACCACCACCACTACCACCACTTACTACTCTCCTCCTCATGTGAAATCCGCCCAGTCGGTGAAACGGTCGGGACCTCAATTGCCTTTTATTGACGCAACACCAACGACCAACCTACTTTTAACAGACGAAACCCCCGTCTCGTTCGGCCCAAACCCCCGAACCACCAACCCCCCTGCAACTGAACTCCCCAAATTGCCATTATTTAACAATGGTGAACTCCGACCCTGAGCACCCCCCCGGCGAGCCCGCTCCCGAGATCTTGGAGGAGCGCATCTGGATCGATGGCTGCTTCGACTTTTTCCACCACGGTGAGATGCCGAGGCCGCGGTGAGCCTGCTGCCTTACGCCAGTTTTGCTAATGTTCACCGAGGCCATGCCGGAGCCATCGTGCAAGCCCGCCAGCTGGGCAGCGAGCTGTACATCGGCGTTCACTCCGACGAGTCCATCCTTGAGAACAAGGGCCCGACAGTCATGAACCTGCAAGAACGGTATGTTTCTCCCCTTCCGGCGTGTCCCAGAAGCTCTGTCAATGTTACTCACATCATCACCAGCCTGGCCGCCGTCGACGCCTGCCGCTGGGTCACAAAGTCCGTCGGCCGGGCCCCCTACGTCACGCAGCTCGAGTGGATTAGCCACTACGGCTGCAAGTACGTCGTGCACGGCGACGACATCACCTCGGACGCCGACGGCTACGACTGCTACCGCTTCGTCAAGGAGGCCGGCCGCTTCAAGGTTGTCAAGCGCACCCCGAGCATCTCCACCACCGACCTCGTCGGCCGCATGCTCCTGTGCACAAAGACCCACTTCATCAAGTCCCTCGAGCGCCAGCTGGCCGGCGAGGAGGGCGAGGGCACCTCCCAGGCCGAGATCAAGGCCAACGCCGACGCCATGACCGAGCGCATGAAGCTGTACGCCACCGACGAGACGGGCAAGAACCCCGGCGTCGAGGTCTGGTTCTGGTCCGCGCCCGACGAGGCCAAGGCCGAGGCCGCCAGCGAGGAGAAGGGCGACTTCCGACGCTTCTTGCCGGGCAAGGGCCCGAAGCTCGGCCAGCGCGTCGTCTATGTCGACGGCGGCTTCGACCTGTTCTCGAGCGGGCACATTGAGTTCCTCCGCCGCGTCGTCGAGGCCGAGGAGGAGCAGGCCCGCAAGGAGGGGTGGTACTCGGAGCAGGCCGTAAACGAGCGCGTCGGCAAGGGCGGCGACTACCCGCCCGCCTACGTCGTGGCCGGCATCCACTCGGATGAGGAGATCAACCACTGGAAGGGCATCAACTACCCCATCATGAACATTTACGAGCGTGGGCTGTGCGTGTTGCAGTGCAGGGTAAGGCGTCGATGGCCCCATCCATTCCCTCCTCTTGATACTCCTACCCTCCACTCCTATCATCTACATCCCTTATAGCATGCCCCCTCCCCCCGTGTGTCCGTGCTAACAAAACCGCAGTACATTGATGCCGTCGTCTTCGGCGCGCCCTTCTCGCCAACAAGGGCTTACCTCACGGCGCTGCCTTGGGGCACCCCGGATGCCGTGTACCACGGCCCCACGTCCTTCATGCCGCTGACGTACGACCCGTACACGGCGCCCAAGGAGATGGGCATCATGCGCGAGGTGGGCGAGCACGAGTTCGCCAGCGTCAACGCCGGCACCATTGTGCAGCGCATCATGAAGAGCCGCGACATGTATGAGGAGCGGCAGCGCAAGAAGGGCATCAAGGCTGAGGGGGAGACGGCGGCGCGGGACCGCGAGATGCTCGAGGAGGAGCAAGCAAGGCGGGAGGCCGAAAGGGCGCGCAAATAACGAGGGGCGCAAGGAGACGGGACGGGGGCGGCTTTTTATTTCGTTCGGGGGCTGCGGGGATCGAGTCGTATTTTCGAGTCGCGCAGGGCGATATCATGTTTAATATGGATACCTTTTGTGAGCATACCTCATTCACTACTTGAGGGCCAGGTGCTGGTTGGCCTTCAACAGGCCCGAGGGGAGCCCAAGCGAAGGAGGGACACCCGCATCAGACGATGCGGCGGGGAATCGGAATAGCAACGACACATACCATTCTTATCTGCTGGCTTTCGCGTATCACGGCTGGGAATGTTTGCGCTCGCGTACATGTCTCGGTATAATTAAACGCAGCGACTGCAGGCTCAGGAACGGCTAGCATCAAGCACGCGCGCAGGCACAAGTACCCCGCCATTTCGTGTCAAGTGACTGGACCGGTGAGCGGGCGGCCGCATCCCTTGGGGCTGGGCCAGGTCGGGCGCCGAGAGGAATGCAACCCTCCCCTCACGTGTCTGTAGCGGCGAGCGGTGAGAGTACTGCAGCGGCAACGGGTCACTGCCAGCTGAACGGTGTTGCGAGTCTACGGTTCGAACATGTCGAGCACTCGGTGCAACCCAAGCAGCTCGTGACCTTGGAGGGAGTTCTAGAAGGGAGGAGGAGGGCCCTGTCCTTCGACGGTATGCTTTCGACACCTCATGATGTCTCTGAAGTTTGTGCAATCTGCGGAGCATTCTTAACGGGGAATCCCCAAGGCGTGGTAATCTGCTGCCGGATAGGTTAGGGAAAGCTCCTGGGCATGGCTTCCCTCGACGGCTTCTATATGAGCCTCCGGATGCAAGCAAATGGGTCGCGGATCTGCCACTGCCGATTCGCAACGTATCAGCAAGGATAAAGCAGTCATACAGAGCATCCCGAAGGCCGGTTATGAACTGCATCGTTGAGTATCACGCGGTCTTCTGAAGCTGCTCTGTGCCGTCCTTGCATTGTATGCTCTTTTATCAAACATCATAGGTTCTCTTTACATTCTGCTTGCATACCGCCTGGAGATGCAACAACGCGACTGGTTTGTTTCGTATAGACGAGGTTGTTGCTCTCCAGAGAGAGACACATCAAGACCGTCATTTCAAGGTCACGATTTGCATAGCATTTGGGCTCGAGGCTGGTCTATGATGAGAATCACCTTTTCGAGGGGCAGTGGATGAGGGCCACGGAGCCGCTGCCAGTCCCCGAAGGGTCCTGGAATACAACGGTATCTACATTGCCATTTCAGTTCAGCATAGTTCGTATGGGGCCAAACGTTCTATGATCTCTTGATACTATCAAAAGTTTGGTGGAGACGGAGTCGATGCATACCAGGCTCGGTACTATCGGCTGCCTCGCTGCCTACCCATCACGGCATGCTTCAGGTCTAAACCAGGTCCTCAAACTTCGACGTCGCATACAGAAGTATGAAGAAGTTGAAGAGGCGGGAAAACGCCCGCTATCGAGCATGATTTTGATCGAGCATCATGGCGAGAAGGAGCTGCTGACCAGTTTCGGCCAAGTGTACGGGGGCCAATGAGCATTTAAGGAATTAGGAGATATCTCGGAGTCTTCCGCACGAAGTCAAGAATCCCAGATATGAAGCTGTTGGCTAGGAGGGTCCTTGGAAAGTTTGCGGAGCGGTATCGGTGAGACAAGACCAATATCGATGCAATTTAGGAAGAAAACAAAAAAGTCGTACCCCGCTTTCCAAATATCCATGTTAATTAAGGTCGTGGCTGTGAATCTTAAGCTGACATACATGTATGTATACCTACTTAGGCTCAAGTCAAGAAGACGGAGTAGCAGCGCCGCCAAAGGAAAGTCTCTCTCTCTCTTTTTTTTTCTTTTTTCCCCCTATCTCGATGACTGGAGGGCTGTGTAGAAAGGGGCAGGAGGCACCCACCACACACCGTGGAAAGAGATCCGTGCCTCCGGCGCAAGAGGCTGCATGGCATGCATGCACGTCGAGTTTTGGAGGGGGGGCTATAACGGTATGCAGAGTTGCGGTGCGAGGAGACGCCAGCACCTCCCCCGGAGGTTACACTCGGCACCTTCTCGAACCCGAAGCTGCGCCAACCACCGATCCGTTGTTCGAGAACAGCATCTGTTGGGAGTCACGATGGGAAGGAATGGGAAGATAGATGGGTAGATGGGAGGTGCGATCTACCTTAGTACCTGACCATTGGTGATTGAGATGCCGCCAAGGCCAGTCCTGTCGTATTGGTCGTTGTTTCCTTCCTTCCTTCCATCCATCATCCTTCCTTCCTCCTTCGTCTATCTCCTTCCTTCTAGTCTGTGTGTGTGTGTGTGTCTGGTCACTCGGTACTCGGATCTCACCTCCCCTCCACGTCATCGCCTAGGCCCGGCTATCATCGGCTATCATCGGGAGGGGTAACATTGAAACCCCGAGAGGACAAGGAAAGAGATAGCGATAAGGCCTGCATTTGATTCCGCACTTTGACGCTTGTATGGAAGGGGAAAGGGGGAAGGGAGGGATCTTGCAGCTCTTTGGCGGTGGGGCGAACCTGTCAAGGTTCTAGGTTGTCGCAGCCATACATACACCTCTATCCGTGGCTCCCGCCCTTCTTAAAATGTCAGAAAAGCAAACGCCATCGGCCAGGCCACGTCCACCCTCAGCTGTCAAACAACGCCTTTCGCTCCCACGCCTTACGCTCCCTGTCTACATGTCGATGAAAAAGCAAAAGAGGCGTGCTTGACATGGCGACATCGGACGCCTTTGTCTCTCACCCCTGACGACAAACCTCCTATCTGAAGTCTTCCCGGGCTGGCCGGTGACATCGCCTGCTACATCCAGCACCGATTGTCGGTCGAACAAGAGGCATCATCGTCATCGCCGTCGATAGTCAGTCACCTCAGCCCAGCTGGTCTCGGCCGCGCGCAGCAAAGCCGCAATGGGGCACCAGAACGTCGACCGACTGGAGCCGTGCCCGGCCGACGGCTTATGGTGGGACAAACCACGATGCGACGCTGCTACGCTACGGGTTCCGTTCGCCTCTGCGGTGTGCCATGTACCTGACGCTCCATTGACTAATCCCCGACGAATGGGCGGCCGCGTTGACCTCTTGTTTCGTCACAGGTTTGATTTTTTATTTGTCTTGTCTGCCCCCCCCGAATCGAGAGCGCTTGCTGGACTTCAGACGTAGCTGCAGCAGCGTACCGAGTAGTGTATGACCATTGCGAGGCGGGATGGCCCCGGCTCTACCGGCTGGGGTGGTTGTGTTCTTGACTTCTTTTTTCTTCCTTTCGCCATCATCCTCGGCTCGCTTCTGTCTTATCTCGGGAGAATGAGTGGCGTCTACTCGAGATGGCTGGTGGGGACTCGAGAGGAGGGTAAAAATAAAATAAAATAAAAACGCCTTGCTTCGATCCAGGAATGAAGCCCGATCCGCCAATGACCAAAGTACCTGGGACAGCTGAGAGATGAGATGTGATGGAAGAGAAAATTCCATCCCAAGTCTACTGCCACGCCGCTTCAGAAGTGCTCATGCGGTAACGGATCCCCGGCCGGGATCCACCTTACAACTAAGTCCTCGGGCTCGGCAACTGGCATCCGGCCATCATCGATGGTCCTTTTGACTTGGTGCTGCTCGATGGCACACATTCATTCCTAGGGAGTCTGTTGTCTCCCTCACTTCAAGTGTCAGCTGGACGTACAGGAAAGATGAACTGCGAATTCCTGTCAAAAGATGTGGCAGGCACTATGGTCACTTGGCCCGATATGGAACCCCGGGACAAGCGGCGGCATGGATGCTACGAAAAGCCATGTAGCGTACCGGCCGGCTCGACTTGGAAATCGACCATGGCTACCTAGATAGGACGTGCATCGTTCTCGTTGGCGTCCGCCTGCTGGTCTCCTCTTTGACTCGGTGGGGTTGTTGTGTTCCTTCTTTTTTCTACTCCCGTTTTTTTGGCCTTCCAAGTCCTTGCATTTTCCCTCCTGTTCTCCCAGCTTTTCCCTTCATTACACGCATCTAGACTGTCACCCATTCAATCAATTACCCAACCAACCAACCAACCAACCAACCAACCCAGCCGCCAGGGAACAAGACCAGACGATGGCTTGCTGCATTTCCCCGGTCGTCATGCTCCTGCTCGCTCTTCCCGTTGCCCTTCTCGCCCCATCCACATCCATGCTGCATGCACTGCACAGGCCAAAGTCTCCATGATGTTCCCTGTTATCTGAAAACGCCCCTACCAAAAGACCGGACCCGCTGCCCCTCTGCATTGGCCCTTGAGTCACCTGCTCCATCTGTCACTAGAACCTTGAGCCAAGCCAAGCCCAACAACCCGTTGTACTTAAGCTCTTGTCTTCACTCCTTCAGCCGAGTCTCGTGGCTTTGTTCTCTTCCTCTCCCCCATCTTAAGCCGAACATCGCCCCTCCTTCTTCCGTTTTACACAGCCATCTGCCTAGGTGTTACCACGGTTCGTGCTACTCGTCACCTCGCTTAGCCATCCATCCCGATCCTCCGTCCGAGATATCCAAGACATATCTCGCTCCCATCGCTGCACTTGCACACCACCACCTCGAACAGACCTAAACGGCAACCCAATGGCTCCCGGCACCATCTCCCCTGGCCTCCACCATGGCAACCAGGACGTCGACCTGACCTCTTCTGCCATCGAGCACAAGCTCGAGGCCATCCCCAATGGCAAGGGCACTAACGGTGACGCCAACGGCAAGCCCGCGTACCGAGAACTTGACGCCTCCAAGCTCATCTACAACCGTACTAAGAACCCCCGTCAAGTCCCCGATCTGGCCAGCGCCAATGCCGGCCCCGAGACCATCGCCACCGACCACATGATCGCCGCGACCTGGAAGGCCGGCGCCGGCTGGTCCGCCCCGGAGCTCAAGCCCTACGGCCCCATTTCCCTCATGCCCACAGCCTCCGTCTTGCACTACGCCACCGAGTGCTTCGAGGGTCTCAAGGTCTTCCGCGGCTTCGACGGTGCTCTCCGTCTCTTCCGCCCCGACCGCAACTGCGAGCGCATGCTCATGTCCTCCACCCGTATCGCTCTGCCTGGCTTCCCTCCCGCCGAACTCAAGAAGCTCCTCATCGCTCTGATGGCCGTCGACGGCCCCAAGTGGCTCCCCCGCGACCGCCCCGGCTCCTTCCTCTACCTCCGCCCCACCATGATTGGAACCCAGCCTCAGCTCGGCGTCCAGGCCCCCTCCGAGGCCATGCTCTACATCATCTGCACTTTCATGCCCGTCATGGACTCCCCCGTGGGCGGCATGAAGCTCCACACGAGCCCTGAGGACATGGTCCGCGCCTGGGTCGGTGGTTTCGGTTATGCCAAGGTCGGTGCCAACTACGGCCCCTCTCTGCTCGCCACCGCCGAGGCCCGCAGCCGTGGTTTCGGCCAGATCCTCTGGCTGTACGGACAGGAGCAGTACTGCACCGAGGCCGGCGCCAGCAACTTCTTCGTTGTGTGGAAGAACAAGGAGACCGGCAAGACAGAGGTTATCACCGCCCCCCTCGACGACCGGTTGATTCTGGACGGCGTCACCCGACGTAGTGTCTTGCAACTTATCCGTGAGCGCCTCAGCGACGATGTCGAGGTCGTTGAGAGGAGATACACCATCAATGAGGTCATTGAGGCCTACGACGAGGGCCGTATTGTCGAGTCTTTCGCAGCTGGCACTGCTGTAAGTCGTCACGTCCTATTTGTTTATTTACATTTCATTTCTCAACGACTGACCAACTTGCGAATAGTACTTCGTTTGCCCCATCTCCGTCATCCACCACCGGGGCAAGGATGTCAGCTTGAACATGGGCAGTGATGGCCAAGGCGGCAAGTACACGCTCCAAATCAAGCAGTGGATGAAGGACATCATGTACGGCGGCGAGCAGCACGAGTGGGGCGTCGTCGTCCAAGAGGAACTCTAGACGTTTTCCCGCTTCCTGCACGAAAAATAGAAAAGAGAAAAACTGGGGGTGAAAGAAATGAAAAGACGGTGAATGGGAGGAGATATACACACATATGTACCTCGAACTGAGGCTGGTCGGTCAAACAGACACGAAAACAACAAAAGTCACGGCTGGGGCGTTGGATGGCATTCTGTACCCCAAAACGGTGAGTTTTTTGAACCGGGGGGTTTTTTCCCATACAAAAAGACTTGGTGCATTTGGCATGATATACTTGGATTTATCACCTTAGCATCAGCAATTCACATCATTTAATATGCATTGAGGGGAAACCCGGACAGGTCTTGAATCTCTTGGCAAAGGCCGAAAATAACACGGCTCAGAGACGAAGTCTTGAGACCAAGCATATAAGGATAGGATCAAGATTCAAGAAAGGGCCTATTCCTATTAAAGTAGAAATGTGAAGAAAAGATCCTAAATATGGGTAAGTGATGCGAGTAATAAGTGAAAGACCACGTGATATGGCACATGGCAATCCATCTGACAGGTGCCGTATGAAGCTATCGTGACATTATTGAAGACTGTACTATCCTGGACAACGCGTCCCCTGTCTGAGAGAGAGATCATTACACAAGGATTCCATTAAGAGCGGAGTGCGTGACGCCAATAAGCAGTTGTACAACATCACCCGGAGACCTTTCTTCAAGCAAAAAGAAATAAAAAAAAGTCCTATGCTTCTATACGTATCAGCACAGTAACGAATCGATGTCCCCTTCTCCACACCAATAGCTTCATAGCAATATGCAAATTAACCACATGTCATATACAGGGCCACCGGCCACTTGCCTTCTTGGTGACAAAACCATGACTAGTTGACGGGTTGTTACAATTGATCATGAAAAATGGTGAAGACGAGTTTCTACAGAGGATATCTGACGGCTGCGGCATCACATAACAACGGATAACAGGTTCAAGAAGAACCTTAATATGGCTGTAGAATCCGATCAAGGGCAGCTGGCAGTTCGAAATTATATCGAGGCAGAGCTCGAACCAAAAGCTTACACGCCTATATCGCTTTGAACTAAACTATTGCCACGCATGCACAGTTCATGATGATGAGGTTAAGCTTAATACCCTGCCAAGCTGCCGTTGAAACACGCTTTGCCCGGCAAGAGGTGAAAACGTGCCTGCGTCGAATTGGGTTTCTTGTTGGGAGACCAACAGATTGTCAATGCATCGAAGTTTCTATCCAGCCACCGACGAGCCCATTGTCCAATTGGAGCGCCGACTTGGCGTCTTAGGCAGGTAGCCGCATGTAGGTATTAGGACATATGTCCATGACGATGGTGGAACCTCGGTTACTAGTCATTATGAGTCATCCTGAATCATTTGGATTTACCCCGTAAAGTGTTGCGAAGTTGTGTAAGAGCGAATCCGGTAGCTGGAGCTATGTAGACTATAAGTAGTAGAATCACTCGATATAGTACCATTGTTCAATCGCGCCATTCCTTCTCGTAAGACGCAACACCAGTCCTATCTTACGAGAACAGCCAATCATCATGCCGACTACACCAAACCCGTCCAGCCCTATCGTCTTTTACGACATCGCCCAGCGGCCACCCGTGGAGAAAACGTGCTGCGCGCCAAACCCCTGGAAAACCAGGCTGGCTCTCAACTTCAAGGGTCTCCCATACTCCACCACGTGGGTCCCCTTGCCCGACATATCCAAAGTCCGCCGCAGCCTCAAGGTACCGCCCTGCCGTAAATTCGCCGACGGCTCGGACTTCTTCACGCTGCCCATCATCGAGGACCCCGCCACCGGCTCGCTGGTCGGCGACTCGTTCGACATCGCCGTCTACCTGAACGAGGCGTACCCGGACTCCGGCGCGGGCGACCTGTTCCCCCCGCAGGCGCTCGACTACACCTTCGAGCACAACGGCATCCTCGTGCCGCTGTCCTCGTGCCGCGACGACGCGTTCCCCGAGTACGCCCGGTTTAACATGAACGTCGACGCGGCCTTCTCGATGCACGTGCAGCTCACGACCGACGGGTTCCCGTTCGACCCCGCCACCGCCGAGGCCAGCAAGGCCGAGTTCGTCCGGCGCGCGGGCGTCTCGCGCTTCGAGGACTTTTCCCTGGTCGGCGAGCGGCGGGAGCAGATGAAGGGCTCGCTCCGGGACATGCTGGGCGGCCTGGCGAAGCTGTTCCCGAGAGACCCTAGCGGGCCGTTCCTCCTTGGGACCGAGGCCAGCTACGCGGACTTGGTCGTCGGCGCGTGGCTGCGGATGATGCGCGCGACTCTGCCGGGGAGCGAATGGGACGAGGTCCGGAGTTGGCACAAGGGTCTTTTCGGGCAGCTGCACGACGCGTTAGAGGCGTATGCGGAGGTGAAATAGGGCGGGCGGGCCAACAGATCTTGGGTGGGGGACGGGCATGTAAGAAGCATCCTGGTAGATGGAAGGGAGGGTCCTGAGGGCCGAAATATAGTGTTGTGGCGTTTTTATTTTGGTATTTTGGGGGTCTAAAAAAGGGAACAATAGAGATGAGCGTGGCTTTCCATTGGGATACACCAAACAACGATCACGACGCAACAGAACGAACTGAAGAGTCACACAGAGTGGTAGGCAATGTAATGGATGATTTGGCTTTGTGCCAGCAAATGCGAGTTGTGGCTTGTGTCAGGTAAATGCAATGTGTCATTGAGCAAATATCTTGTCCTCACGCGGTCTATGTAACCAAATTTGGTCTACAATTTCATCCGCTGGCGAACTGAGATATCCTAAGCTCTTTCTACTATGTATCATATCATCTCGTTCTTGTTCTGTAGAGCTAGTATCACGCGTGCTATCCCTCCCCTTTTGAGATCTGACTTCCAACGTCTTACTGGATGAGGAATATTGACGTACACAAAGTGGATAGCAGAAATGATCCCTGACGCCCAATATAGGTACAACATGTATTATAACGCAGAGGAAAAAAGACGGAATCATGTAGATAGTACTTTACGAAAAGGAACATGTCGAGGGCCACGCTATGACTAAATGGGACTCTTGGCATTGTACTGGCGTACAGTTCAGTGCTGCCGTTTTTGACGATAGTCAGGCTGTTGTTCTGCTTCGTGTTCAGTCGAGAGTCTGGCTGTTGTCTGGTTTAATGCCGGGAATATCTAGGTTAGCTTACGTTTTTCCCGTCTAGCAGCAACCTACGGGACAATTTTGATCAGAAAATCTGAGCGGGACGGAGCTCTTGGTGCTTCTTGGCTGGTGCGGCCACAAGAAACATCTACAATGCGCATCCCTTTTTCGCGAGAAGAACACTGTGCACGCGGTATGGGTATATAACTTTGAGTTCTTCGTTTCCTTGAGTCCGTAAAGGTAATGGATATCCGCCTGGCTGCTAAATCGCCTCAAACGACGTGAGTAAATCATGCCTACCGACCGTATAAGACGTATTGTAACAAATCAGAGATATCACTCTCGTTTGAAGGTTCCGTGAACTCTGTATCCAACCCTATAGAAGGCGCCCAGGTATCACTTCTGAACCTCAAAATTGGTATACACTCTCGACTCCCATCCGCCGAGCACGGGAGCAACCCCCTTGACCAGCTCCCCGCCCTCTCGGGTGCCGACCAGCAACCTCACCTCGCTCGCCTCGCAGCCAAGCAACGCCGGCACGTCGCCCGTGCTCTCCTCGCCCTTGGAGAAGTTCATCACGACGAGCGCTCTCCTCCTCCTCTGCACGGCCCCCTTCCCGCCCACCGGCGCCGGACCCTCTTTGAGGACGACCCACGTCCGCTCGTTCTCCGGGTCGATGAGCCGGTGCGCGCCGTGGATGAAGACGTCGCGGTGCCGCTTCCGCAGCCGCAGCAGCTTCTTGTAGAACTCGAGGACCGAGTCCGGGTCGCCGCGTTGCTTGGCGGCGTTGATGGCCTCGTAGTCGTCGTGCACCCGCATCCACGGCGTCGCGCCCTCCCTGGCGAAGCCGGCGTTCGGGCCGGCGTCCCACTGGAACGGGATCCTCGAGTGGTCCCTCGCGAGGATGCGCAGCCCGTGCATCGTCTTCTCGACGCGTCCGCGGTCGCCGGACGCGACAGCCTCCGAGTAGAAGTTGGCGCTCTCGATGTCCTTGTACTCCTCGATGCCCCAGCCGGCCGGCATGTTCGTCATGCCGATCTCCTGCCCCTGGTACAGGAACAGCGTGCCGGACATGGTCGCCTGCCACAGCGCGATGGTCCTGGCCGAGGCCCGCCACAGCGCGGGCGTGGAGTCGTCGCCGAACCGCGACACGGCGCGGCCGTTGTCGTGGTTCTCGCAGAAGGCCGTCGCCCACGCGTCGGTGCCCTCGAAGAAGGACTGCCACGTCGCGGTGTAGCCCTTGAGGGTCGACAGGGGGAAGGGCTGGTAGATGTACTTGGCGCCGAAGCCGTTGCCGTTGCCGAGGCGGATGACGGAGAACTCGAACACCATGTCGAGCTCCCCGGCGGCGGCCGAGACGTAGGGGATAACCTGCGACGGGTGCGGCGTCAGGGACAGCTCGCCGACGGAGACGGCGTTGTAGGGCGCGAGGGCCTTGCGGTTCATCTCCCGGATGAACTCGTGGATGCGTGGACCGTTGCACCACATCTCGGGCGCCGGCTGGTGCGGTGACCCGGGGTCGGTGACGGGCGCGTCGACGAAGTCGGTCCGTTTGGAGTACTTGTTGACGGTGTCAATGCGGAACCCGTCAACGCCGCGGTCCAGCCAGAACCGCATCGTGTCCTCGTAGATGGCCTCACGGCAGGCGTCGTTGTCCCAGTTCAGGTCGGGCTGGTCGGGTGCGTACAGGTGCAGGTAGTATTCCCGCGAGTGCTCGTCCCACGTCCACGTCGGACCCGCAAAGTAGCCGCGCCAGTTGGTCGGCGGGTGGCGCACGCCATTCTCGTCGTAACGTGCGGGCTTCCAGATGTACCAGTCGCGCTTGGGGTCGTCCCTAGACGAGCGGGACTGCTTGAACCAGTCGTGCTCAACAGAGGTGTGGTTGACGACGAGGTCGAGGATCACTTTCATGCCGCGGCGGTGGCACTCTTCCAGCAAGGTGTCGACATCGTCGACGGTGCCGTAGGGGGCGTAGATCTTCTGGTAGTCGGAGACGTCGTAGCCCATGTCGGCCTGGGGGCTGTCGAAGATGGGGGAGACCCAGACGACGTCGACGCCGAGCTCGTGGAGGTAGTCAACCTTGCTGATGAGACCGGGCAGGTCGCCCCAGCCGTCACCGTCCGAGTCCTTGAAACTGGCCGGGTAAACTTGATAAAAGGTTGCGTCCTTCCACCAGGGCTGCTTGCCCACCCAGCGGTTCTCGTCGTCCCAGACGGAGGACCCCATTGTGACGGATGTGTGTTGCCGAGAGATCTCAAGTACCTTTCCCTCCCTCTCTCTTCTCGCTCGCTGTTTGCTAGTCGTAATGGTGGTGGTTTGGTCAAATGGGACAGAAGTGGCACGGCGGGGTGGCACAGGAAGATCAAAAGAGGAAAAGGCAAAAGGGAGCATCCGGAGTCAAGGGGCAGAGTCCAGGCGCGCCGGGATCGATTCGCATTTTGACTGTGCGCCGCCGGATGGGCTGCTCGGGAATATGGGAACGGTCGTGATTAGCGGCTGCTGCAGAATCCGGCGTCATAAAATGACTTGCAGACAGAGGGGAACTCGCCACACTCACACTCCCGGCCCTTTCCCGGGGTGATTGTATCGAAACGCAACCAATGCCGCCCGCTCTACGGCAACAATCTTTACCCTTATCTGAAACCACGTATCGTCCACATCCACCTCCATATGGAGTGATGCATCGTTCCGTCATGTTCCCCGTCGTCGCGTCGGCGGAGAGTCCGATGAGATAGAGGACAGAGATCCCCCGCATTTTGCTCTCCAATTGCTGAGTTGTTTGTCGGGTTGTGTGGGTGGTTTTCCCCTCTCGCCCACTTCCCCTCCCTCGGACTCTCCACGCCGTCTTGCCTTCATGCGGAAGAAATGGTAGGCTTTGCAGGTGAAGAAGCGGGGATGTGTGGTGTCGTCTTCTTGGCTCTCGGCTGCTTTCTTGGCCTTTTTTCTTTCTGCAATGCAATAATCCTATAATATGGAGCCGAGACCAAAATAGACTCCGCAGCAAACACCTGTTGTTTAGGGCCTCAGGCCATCAGAGCCTGAGGCAGGGGCCCTTGTGGCCTACAAGGGGGTTCTTCTGCACCTACCTATTTAGATAGAAACCTAGACTATATACACCCTTAATTAATTTATAATTAGCATAGGTTTTTATCCCTTTGCTTTAGTGCTAATTATTTTCTAGTCTCCTCTTCTAGAAACCTGCAAGAAAAATAAGGCTATTATCTACTTTTACCTTAAAGATTTAATTAATTTAAAAACTATTTATTATAAGTTAAATACTACTCCTTGTTAAGAGTAAATAGTTAAGGCTAAGAGACTATTATCCTAGCTACTAATAACTAATAGCTTTATTTATCCCTTAGTAAAGCTAATATAGTAGACTAATAGCTACTATTCTTACTATTTTACTTTTAGCTTAGTAACACTAGCCTAAAGTTATTATCTTTAACTATAAGAATACTATTAGAATCTAAATACCCCTTTATAACTTAGTTACTATTATTTAGAACTAATTACTAGTAACTTAGGTAGTTATTTACTACCTTATTAAAGTAAATATTTTCTATATTATTAATAAGTAAGCTAGTAATATTACTATTTTTATTATTTAAGACCTCTTTTTTAGCTTTAAATAATACCTTTATAAAAGATAATATTATAGTACTTATTAAGGAGGCCTTTTAGTAGTAGGAAACTATATATATTAAGACTACTATTTAGTACTTCTAAGCTTTTACTTTTTCTAAACCTACTTAGTAAGTACTAACTAGTAGGATACTACTTTTATATTATTACTTTACACTAACCCCTAAGCACTTACTTAACTTACTAACTATATTTAACTTTATAGAAAGTATAAATATTAATATATAGATACCCTTTAACTTATACTTCTAGAGGTCTTAATCTAAGCCTATAGCTATAGAGTATAAAAATATCTAAGAAGTTTATAATAATAAGAATTTTTATTATTAATAGTCCTATATTTAAGACTATTAGTTTAATACCTAACACTAGTAAGACTATAATAATATTAATATAGATAATATAGATAATACTTATTATATATATTAAAGTAGTAGCTATTAAGGTTATTAGTATATATTTACCTATATTTAACTTATATAGTAAGCTTAACCTTAACCTACTTAGATAAATCTAAGCTAGTGTTAACCTTTATTTTTAGCTATTATACTAAGTTTTTCTAGTTTCTTAACTTTTAGTAGTAATACCTTTATTACCTAGTAGTTATTATATCTTTACTTTAAATTTAAAAAGGCCTAGATATAACCTTATATAGTTCTAGACTAAGTTATTAGAATAATTAATATATTCTATAATAGTAAAGTAGCTAGCTTCTTAGATAACTTTAGCTAGTTATTAGATATTATCTATATAGCTTAGTAAAGGCTAATAATAAAAGTTAATATAGATAAGGTTAAGTAGGCACTAAAGGATTAGTTTTTACTATAGTTAAATAATAAACCTAAAGAGACTACTAATATTTAGATACTTTACTAGTACCTTAATAAGTTACTCTCTATATACTATAACTAAGCTTATATTTTCCTTTATTATACTAGTAGTTAAGACCTAATACTAGCTAACCTACTATTACTAGCTAAAATAATAGTCCTAAGGTAACTAGTCTAATAGTTTATTAAAGGTATTTATAAGGAGGACTTATACTATATAGCTATAGACTATTTTACTACCTAGGCTACTAGCCTTTAAGAATCTTATAATTCTATCTAACTAGCTTAATTTATCTTAAATAATTACTACTAATAAAAATAAGCTAGAATAAAGTATAACTATACTACTATTTTAGAATAGATCTTTATTAACTAAAATAATAGTTAGCTAATTAATAAGATTATCTAGTATTAGTATAGGTTACTAGTAAGTATACTATTATTAGACAAAGGGATCCTTTTACTTTCTACTCTTTTATTATATTTATTATACTAAGTTACTACTATCTTATTAGCTCTTGTTCTTTTGCCTATATATACCTAGACTTACTAACCTTAATAAAAGAATAATAAATTAGCTTAACTATATTCTTTATTAGTACTACCTATTTAGTTCTACTTATTAATAAATAAAGAAAACTAAAGGTAATATACTTAAGAAGATAAATAAACTAGAGGATATTAGAATATTCTTAATAGCTTATAATTATTAGGACTATATAGACCTTTACTACTACTAGCTTAGTAAGGTTATAAACCTTAAGCCTTACTTTAGAATTAAGGCTATTAAAACTAATTATATAGACCCCCTTAGGTCTAAGGACAAGGTCCCTAGAGACAAGATTACTAGAATACTTATTAGACTAGGTAGTCTACTATAAAAGTAAATTATTACCCTCTAAGTAACTTATAATTATACTAGTAACCTACTATTAGGTAATAACTACTTACTAATATAACTAAAGGTTTTAATACCTTAGACCTTAGCCTTTTAAGCTTACTTAATAAATCTACTTCCTTAAACCTATATATAAATAAGACTTATATACTTAATTAAGAATATAACTTTATAATAATCTTATATATTAAATATAGATATAAGGGGTATAAGTTACTAGAATATAATAATTAGCCTCTAGCTACCTAGGAGAAGGTAATTCTTTAGAGTATTATACTTTTATTATTATAGAGCTAGAATAAAGAAAAGTTTCCCTTAGCTAGATAAATTAACGTTTACTTAGTATAGATTTATTTATATAATATTATATAGTAAGAGATCTATTTTAACCTTAATAATAAAGATAACTTATTAAATAATTAAGATTAGCTTAAGAGGACTATAACTAGTTATAAAGTTAAGAGCTATATAGTAGAACTTATACTACTACTATATATAAAAGAGAAGTAAAAAGATAGTCCTAAGCCTTTAACACTAATAGCCTTAGCTAAGGTCTAGGTAATAACTATATTAAATAATATAAGTAGGTAAGTCTTAGAAGTCCTTGTTAACCTTAACTTAGAACCTACCTATTATATTTAACTATTAGTAGATCTAATAAAAGCTACTCTTTTTATAGACAGTTAGGCTAAGAGGACTATATTCTAGAAGAATATTATCCTAGGACTATCTAATAGGGGTATTTATTAGAGAGGTTAAAAGCAATAGACCTTAACTTAGTAAAAGTAAGTATAGAAGAGGGACCTATAAGGTTACTGTTAGGTATAGAAAGGTCTTAGCTAAGATATAAATACTAATTTAGATAATAAGATAAGTAATAAAGGCTAACACTAAAGCTAGACCCTTAAACCTTAAACCCTAGGCTTAGAATAACCTTCCCTTAGTTATTAATAACCTACTTCTTAAGAACTAACTTATTAGTACTAACCTATACCTATTTAATATAAGCTAGCTATACTATTAAACTTTTTACTTAACCTTAGTTATAACTCTAAGCTAAAGAAAAAGGCCTAAGCCTAAAGGCATTAAATAGGCTTAAGCCTAATTATTAGATAATAAGGTTAAAGGGCCTTTAACTAGGTTAACCTAGCTTAAAAAATTATAATACTACTAAGCCTAATAGACTTTTAGTAAATTAGCCTATAAGGTAGTAAAAAGTTTTAATACTTATTAATACACCTATATAGTAAAAAAAAAAACTAATATAAGATATAAATATAAGCTATAAAGGCTAATATTATTAGACTATTAAGATAACTTAACTTTAATTTAGATATTATTACTACTTTAAATATAATAGTAAAAACTAATACACTAAGTAAGGTTTATTTATAGACTTAACCTTTTAAAGTTAACTATATTATTTTAATTAGTAAGTATAAAGGGATCTAGTTATTATTACCTTAAGACTTTATATAAGCTAATTAAGGCTTAGAATTAAATCTTATTTTACTTAGCCTAGTTAAACACTATAACTTACCTATATATTTACTCTAAGGTATTAGATTTAATAGTCTCTAAATCTTTACTACTAATAACTATACTATTCTAATAAAGTAGTTTATTACTATTAATATTAAGATATTAGGTATTAAGTATAAGATCTAGGTATACGTTAAACCTAAGGGTTAATATATTAGCTTAGTAAAGCTACTGCTAAGGCTTCTATAGCTTTAGGTAGTAGATGCCTAGATTTAAATCTATTAAGTAGTCCTCTAGATTAGTAATATATTAATTAGTAAAAAAGTAGTTAATATATTTAGCCTAGTTATAACCTTAGACCCTACTTAGTG